TATATATAAAAACAATTTATAATATTCTTTAAAATGTTCAATTTTTTTTTATTGTTGAATCTTATATTATAAAGTCAAACAATGATGAAATGTAAAACCGATATGTGAAAGGATTATTTTACTTAAAAGATATCTCGCAAATCCCAAAAACGATACTTTCTGAATGCATTTATCTATGTCGTTAGTTGGTCTGAGAGATGAAACAAATATTGAGCCGACATTGTTTTAAAATGTATATAGTTTTAATGTTTTATCTTTTATAGGTCTTTTAAAAGCTGATAATTTTAAAATAATACACATGCAAATACATTCATTACATAGATTTTTTTAAATACATTTCAAATGCTTTTAAGAATAAATACAAATACTTTGCGTGTATTTAAATACTTTTGAAACGAGCAAAAAGAAAACTCATTTTATTCAAAACAATGTAATGTGACATTCATCTAGGTATTATTAGAACTTTTTTTACCTCCTTCATAAATGTATACCAAAAAATGAAATAATCATTAACGGGACATTGGCAACATGGGCCATTGGGTTTACAAAATATAGTTTAATAAATTACACAATTAGTATTATAAATAAAATAATTATCAAAAACACTTGAAGACTGCAGACAAATAATTGTTTCGAATTAAAAATATGAATACATCCAATACAGTATTTAAATACATTTAATCAAATATTTTACAAGACTGAATTTAATGAATTTGAAAATATAGAATTTTATTATTATATATGTCTTAAAAATTGAGAATATTTGTGTGCCTCCTTGTATGATTATTTTATGTAATTAGTTCTTAATTCTTAACGTTGATTTTATTTCTAGTGGACGAGATGAAACAACTAGCAGAGGCATTATTGCAGTGTAAATCATTCAGAGAGCGACAAGAACGTCTGAGTGAATCTCTGGATCAACTGTCATTCAACTATCCTGATCTATACACTGTGTTATATAGAGAGATGAAAAAAAGAGAACTGGACGCTAATGATCCAAATAAAATTACTAAATGGTTAAAAAATCCATCGTCAAAATCATTTGTAAGACTTCATGAAGCATTGATATTGGTAAAAAATAACAACATAATGGCCAAAGAGGAGTACACGTACAATTTAAGACGTATGCTAAGCCAAACAATTGAAAATGGTACCAACATTGAGGCTGCAGTGAAAATATGCCATTTGATTGAGAGATCACCAAACCTAACCGTTATTCACGAGTGAGTTTAAAGTTTGATTTTTTCAATACATTTTTTCAACTAGTAATACCATTTTATAAATTTTTAGGAATTTGAAACATCTAATTCGCCAAGTAAGTCATCTGAACAACAATCAACGCCACATGCCGACAGAAACCTTGACAGAAAGCTTTTGGCCAAATTATTTTAGACCACCACAAGCAGACCGTTTCCAAACATTTAATATTCGGCCTACTCAACTCGAAAACACACCGGTTTGGCCAAACATTTTGCAACCGACAAATTTAAATTCTGTTCCTGGTCTACCACACTTTAGAAGTAAGAATTAATCATTGACCAAGTTACAAATTTCAATGTTTAACCATGATGTACAATTTGTTTTTTTAGTGGAATGTTTTGGCTACAACCATTTGGAAATGATTGCAAAGACTAACAGTTCCACGGCTTTGGGAGACTCGCAGTCATTAAACGACCTGACGATTCTCGATCAAGAAATGGATGGAGCAGTTGCTAAGTGGCTTTACTACTTGAAACTACATAAATACCAATGGTTCTTCAACAGCCTCAGTTATCTGGAAATTGAATTCATTGATGAGGACAATATTGATGATTTCATAGCTAAAGTTAACAAAAATACCATTACAAAAGGGGCACAAAAAAAGATATGCTTATCGACAAAGGCATTGAGGGATCGGTCACAAAAGTTGAACCACTTATTATTGGTAATATTTTGAATACACTCATGGCTTTTGGGCAAACAAAAATGAATTAATTACTTTTGATTACAGACTTTGGATTTGGAAGTTACTCCAAATGAACTGTGTGAATTCATGTCGTACATGCGAGATATATTACATTATCCCATACCGAACAAGAATTGTGTGGTTGGCGACCAATTACAACAAGACATAGTCCTTGTCATGGAGAAACTGCTAAATCAACTGCTAGAAAAACTTGGTAAGGTTCGTTCTTTAGTCGCCCAGAGTCTACTCGGAATGTCTATCAATAAATACTTGGAATGCACCTTATTAATAATCGGCAATCAAACATTCATGAAACAGCAAATTGACAAGTCATTGATGTTTGCCGAAACTTTAAAATATAGAGTCCACAGAATTCCTAGAAATTTTAACTAATGTTTTCATTATTATTCAAAAGCTTCATATTACATATGTATATTTTAGTTTTATTATTATTGTTTGTGACTGATGATTCCTACTCGATTTATTTTAATATGATTGTTTTTTGATTTACTTATAATTTATTTAATTGTTTACGATCTTAATTTATTTATATTTTTAAGTAGATGCGTGTTGTATTAAATTGTTAGTATTCATAATTGTTGTTGACTTAATAATTTGGTCATTTAAATGATTTGAATAATGTTATTGTCACCAGCAGAATTTTTTAATTTGCAAAACATTTTTTTCTTTTACTATTTTACGTAACCAAAAGACTTTGATTTGTTTTTTTATTTTTATTGTTTTTTGTTAACTATATTGAAAATCTATTATGGTTTTTTTTTTTTGATTTTGTGCTAATTTAATGTAATTGTTCTGTTTTAAATGTTTTACATTAATTACCTATTATTTATTGACCACTACGTATGTAATCATCACAAGACTTAATTGTTTATTTTAGTATTATTATTTGTTTATATTTATAGTTTAAAGAGATGATTTTTTAAACTTTTTTTTTATTCGTACTTTATATATGGTTACTTGGTTTGATATAATATTTGTTCACAAAATTACTAGATTATTTTATATATGTTTCATATTAATATAGACTTTTTTTATTAAAATTTTGACTACTGCCATAATTTATTGATTTGAAAACTGAGGGATAAGTTAATTTTAAAATGATCAAAATATGTATGTTATTTGACTGAACTTTTATTTTACAAGTTTAAATACAACAACTAGGAGTATACAGAATGTATTCCTCTCCAGATTAAAATGTAACACATACCTATTATTTGTTGTTCATTGTTTTTCACTCTCTAAGTAGGTGACATAGCAATAGGATGAATTCATATACATTTTAGTTACATTTATACATTTATGGGATTTAAAGAGTTGGATTGATACAACATGTGTACTATTTATTGTCGTTTCGCTAACTCAATTATAATTATTTTTTAATCCATAAATTGCATAATATTAATCAACGGATTTAATTGTTATATGTAAACTTAGTGTTCAATGTTGTAATATATTTTTCTCATAGGAAATTCATATAATGATACATTTTTATCGTCATCTCTTTTGTGGCACTCATTATTCAACTAATAAATATATTGGTTGATTATATTTATTTCTTATTTATGGTACCTGTTTTATAAATGGGTCAAACTTTGGTTTATTTCTATCATAATATACATTTAAAAACTTGTTAGTTATTAATCTGACTGATTAAAAACTATTTTTACTTCCCACCCTACTATATGACTGTTTCTATGAGTAACTCTTTAAAGAGCGTAGTGTACATTTCTTAAGTTAGCCACATGCTTGTCGCTTGTGGCTATGGTGTGGTTGGAATATAACGGATCTAAGAAAAATATAGTTGTGATATATTTCCACCGTACATAAGCCTGCTCATACATTTCTGGCAGGGTAGTTATAAATAACATGTTGAGTAATAAATATTCATACATACATGCAAATATTTTCATTTTATAAGTTTTTAATTTCACCTTCTAAATTTTATATAATAGCACTTTAATTATGTACACACAAAAAATATAAGTTCGAACAAAGCCAATTGTTTTTCATATACACCATGATCAAGTACTTTTCACGGGATAAGAGACATTTAAAAAAAAAATTATATGCCAATGATCTGTTTATGATTTTTAAGTACAGTAAAATGCTGATTAAGTGGGCTAATTAATATCAAGGTGTTCTGGGTATAGAAATATCTGGATGATTGAAATATGACACTTTAAAAGTGAACTATGAATACATTTTATTTATAATATAATTTGACATTTGTGATACTGCATACTTCAACAGGTATAAATAAAAATTGGAAAATAACTACTTATTGTTATATCAAGATTCCTAGTTGGTTGGAATAATTATGTGATTATAAGATAAAAATAAGATTTAAAATTAAATTTTTTTTTTATCGACTATTTTAATATTTCAGATTTACTGAAATTAATCAACTTTTTAACACCAAATGTATTTAACTGTATTGTTTCAGATATATAAATAGGTACTAAAAATATTTGCACATTTCCTACTGCTTGAAAAATTAAAGAATCTTTTATATTTTCATAAGGGTTTTTTTCTTTAATTTCAGAGTTACAAAATTTTCTCTACTTGTTTTTTAAACATTTATGTTTCAATGAATCAGAACTATAGGCGAGACTGGACAAACTTACAAATAGTTGAATTAAATAAAAAAAAATAGGACCAAGTTATTGTGATGTTGTACAAATATTATAAGTGTAGGGAAAGCTGTGTTCATGCACTGTGCCAGTACAAACTTAGGCTTTGATAATTTTAATACCAATATCTATAACTTAGTTAATGAAATAATAAATTAAAGTGGAATGGCAATATAATGTATCTTTATTACCAAGTAGTACTTATAAAATAAATGGGTTTAAAATAAAATTTCAAAAAAAAATACACAGTTAAGACTACAAATTACAATAATTATACTAAACAAAAAATTGATTGAAATAACACATTCACATATCAGACTCTAAAATATACTACACATTAGATTATAAGACTAAATAATGTTGGAAATACACATATAAGGTAGTTTGCATACAAATATACAATGCTACCTCTTTTTTTAAACAGACATTGATCAATGGTCAAGCTGATACATACTCATTAGTAATTGCTAAGACTCATTTTCTGCAGAATAAGAGATGAATGGATGACATTTTTTTAGGCAATACCTACTTAATATTATATAAATGAGTACCTATATGAGTGTACACTTCAATTATAATGTAAAATAGAATGTAACTTATTATAGGTATAAGAGAAGATATATAAATTTAAGTTAGAAATTGATCATTACAATCTGTAGGATGGATGATATATTTCTCGGGAAGACAAAATAAAGAGTTTCAGAAGCAAATGGATTTTGTATTAACAAGCCGGAGATAATGTTTTATTGTATTCGGTCTTTGCTTCTATATAGAAGTTCTGAAATTCGAGGTTAACACCGGCCATTCCCGTTACTTTTCGTCAAACGTCACGACCACTTTGCCGCGGAGGTGTCCGGCCTTTACCTTTTCGAACGCCTCCTTCATGTCCGCGAACCTGTAAACACTGTCGACGGGTACGGTGATCTTCTTCTCTGTGGCCAGCCGGGCTAGCTCTTCAACTCCACGCTCAGCGGGCATGAAAAAACCCCAACGGATCGAGGAGCCTTTGAAAACGGCGCCCGAACAGACGTTCGGCGCCACCAGGTCGTATGCGTTCTTCAGCATTCCGAACACCATTCCGTACGAGTCCGTATTGTGCAACACAGGACTGCGGAGGGTGACGAATTTTGCCCATGACCAAGGTTTCAACAGCGGCGTGTATGAGCCGCCGATATCTTCGTATGGTATCCCGGCCGCGTCCAGAATCAGGTCGTACCTTCATAATATTATGTTTCATTATAATTCGTAATAGGTATAACAATAACAAAAATACGGCGTTGAAAATGTTATCAATTATTATTAAAACAACTATTTTGCGTAAAATGAACAAAATACAAGTTTATTCTACATTATTAGTTATTATATACCAATCACCAATGTCTACCATTATCCATGATACGACTATTGTTGGAACAATTTTACACGACTAATAAAAGGTTTTTATTTTTTTTCAATAGCATCCACTGCATGGTTATTTACTATGGGGGGTACGGGGTGGCAAGACCGTAGCCAGAAAAATATTTAGGGGGGTTTTGAGTATAAATATGTTATATTATATAATAAAATATGAAAATCAAGGCCGTAGCCAGAAAAATATTTAAGAGGGAGGGGGGAGGTACCTAGAGTTTAAATATATTGCATTACATAATGAAATATGAAAACATAAAATTTTTTTAAAATTAAATTAATCTTTATTTAAAAAATAATTAAATCTTATTTCAAAATAAAATCCGGGGGGGGGAGGTTGAACCCTTATCTTGCGGGGTGGTATGGTTGGGTCGGAATACGTGTACGTGTGGCGAGAATTAGTAACTAAAAATCCCGGGGAGTCATCCATCCGGGAACTAGTAACCTGTGAGTACACTCAGAAGTCAGAGCGCATAGGCAACTGAATGTTGAAACCGCGCCACACCAAAGCACTCAAAAGTTTTTTTTTTATCTGCTTGTATACGTAACATTTTATCTATTATTGATTAAATAATAGTCGTATATTATAGAACTTATTTGTACTTCATTTTGATAAATTCTAACGAATTTTTACGCCATATACTGCATTATTTATTTATTATTATTTAATATTTTACTATTCTAGTTGAGAGTTGACTACTTATTATATATTTTAAGATAATATGTTTACATACTTTCCGAATTGTTCCAACTGTTTTTGCGCATCTGTGGTGGTGTAGTCAATAATATTATCTGGTCCAAGTCCTTTCACTAGATTTATAGCATTTGTACTACATGTGGTAGTTACCTTAATAATAGAAAACAACTAATTAATAAATAATAATATTTGGAGGGCAGCTGGAACGAAGTACCAAAAATTACTATAGGCTACAAAAAAACCAGATGACTTGCGCTAATGCCTGGTATCGAAATAGTTTTGCAGTTATATGTACCACAGAAAGATTATTTCTTAAGCATAAAAAAGTGTCCAACAGTTTTACAGAATTTTTACAAGTGTCCAAATTCTGAGTTATGGCTTTTTTTGACTTATGGAAAATATACGATTGCGTGCGGTAATGGGATATCCAGTATTTTAAAATCTGTGTGCGGTTTTGTACCATTCAAATTTTGTACATTTGTGTGGTAATGGCGACGCCAATGTTTAATATACTATTGTCTGTTTTCTTATTTTATAATTTTTATTTCTATTTTATATGATAGTTTACAAAAGTTTTACAAAAAGTAAATAAAATACATAATATGTATTTTATTTTAAATGTTGATTTTAACGACTAGAAACCATGTCCTCGTACATTTATTTTTTCAAAAGCATTTACTCTTTTTGAAATAAAGGGTGTTGAATGATAAAAGAATTACCCTTTATGTAGACATTTAAAAAACCTCTTACATTAGTTACAAAGTTTCTCTTAAGTTATTTATAATTCCATTAAAAAATATCAGAAATGCTTAGTCACAATATTTTTTTAAGTGTTTAAAGTATGAACATTTTCAAATTACTTCAGAGTTGAAAATTCCTAAAGTGTTTAATATTATATTCATATTATGCGGTTTTTTTTTAAATATCATAAATTATGCTATACATTATAATACAATTATTATAGCCAGTGATTAATCGCAAAGAATATCCTAGTAATAATGAGAAAAAATTAAAAAAATGTTTTAATGGTAACTATAGAATTTGTTAAGCTGCATGTTTCCAGTGTTTATCTTTATTTGATTTAATTTTTTAGTCTGTTAGTTAAAAATGAATGATTCTAATAATAATTGCAAATGCACCAAAAAATGTCAAATATTATTAGAAAATCCATTCGAATGTTTCCCAAAATACGGCGTAACACGTATGTTACAGATACCTATATTAATGCAATATTTATTCAGTTCAAATTCTGGAAATCAAAAAAGCATTGATTTATCAAAGTATGAGATAAAGCCACTCAATTCATTTAAAACAAATTCGATTAAAGGACCAACAATATCTAATGCACATCATGAAAACACAAGTAACGCAAATATACCAAAAAAAGAATTAAATGAATTGGTGCAATCAAATGGACAAAAAAATTGAAAAATAAACCTGTGAACACAAAAATCACAAAAATAATTATATCTCGAAAAATAAATATCTTCATAAATCAAAATATTGGTATTGTCGTTCAATAATATGATTGGGAATTATTTTAATTTTGTTAATCAAGGTTCGATAAGCAGGATCATAATTCTAGATCGGGGTTAACTGTAGACACCGCTACTCCCTATAGCAATATTATAGGCAGCTTCTTAATTTTCTATCATCCTTGCATATCCACTAATCAAAGTAAGAGTGAACTATAGTGAACAAATATTCTGTTTTGTGATCGTTGGATCGTTAATTATTTTAATGATAATTCGTAGCGATGTTTTTAAATTGTGTATAGCTAATGCTAATTAGCTGATTAGAGTGGCAAAATAAAATCGGATATTATTAACTTTTCTTATCGTCGTAAAGCTGAATGCTTTGAATGGCTTTGAGTAAGTATCGCAAAGGCTTCTATTGTGGAAACTAAATTACTAAATTATTACAAACACTATTTTTTGAAATTAAATATTTAATCGTTTGATATCACGGTACGATTTGCATATTAATTGTGTAATTAAACACTAAATTATTTAAATTGGCTAGTCTCGATATTTTTAGCGTCAGACTTCAGTATAAATGTATAATATTTTAAATGTCCGTTATCCGGATATGAGTGAATATATAATTAATAATTTACCTACATTTATATTAGTTATTTAAACATTAATTCTGATACAATAATCTAAACTAATTCTGAGAAAGAAAAATATAGACATTTATAGGAAAAAAACTGAAATTATTCAAAATATTGCAAATGGAATTTGGCTTTAAGTTAAATTTTTTTTAAATTGTCCATTCGCGAGCGTATACAGTACCTTAGCACCCCACGACTTGAGTATCTGAATCGCACTATTACCGACACCACCGGATCCGCCGATGACCAGTACGTTCTTGTCAGCAGCGTTTGAAGCGTTCACGCCACCAGCCGATGTCAAGGCACACCACGTGGTTAGGCCTGTGTACAACAAGCACGCCGCTTCCTCGTAGGACATATGATCGGGCTTCTTGGCTACCTACAACAACATAGTAAAATAGTTTTATTTTATGTTTGATATCGACATCGATGTTAACTATGTTAAGAGTTTGAACCTATACGGGCTATACGGTCAACCCACACATGCGAGTTGCGACCGACCCAGTGTTTGGAAAGAACGTCGTTCATGAACGCACGTTCACGCGTTCACGTTTATAAATAGTGAACGATACGTGAACGTCACTCGTATTTTTAAAATAGAACGTGAACGTGAACGACGTTTATATTTGTAATGAACTTCATTGATTTTTAAGACGTTTAATTTATTTACCATTTAATAAATATATTTTTCAAATATTTTAATTAATCGTATTATAATAATATTTTCCATTATAGTTCCTATGATATCGAATTTAAATTTAATTAGTAATTACTGGGAAAAAAAATTAAATGAACGCCCAATAAACGAGTTCATTTTTTGAATGAACGTGAACGTGAACGTGTTCCTATTTAAGTACCGAACGTGAACGAGTTCCTTTTTTAAGTACTGAACGTGAACGTGAACGAGTTCATTTTTTTAGTGAACGTTCCGAACACTGGACCGACCACGACCATTATTACCTGAGTTACGGGAACGGTGACGAATTGGGCATGACAACCGTGTTGGTAAGGAGCTACGACGCCCAAAATGGCATCGCCGATGTTCAAGTGTTCCGAGCCAACTTCAGCTCCTTTCGCAACTACTTCACCTGCGAAATCCCGTCCCAGAGTCAACGGGAACTCGACGGGTCTAAAAAAGGACTTCTTTTTTGCCTGCCGGACCCTGCTCAATAGCACTTGACCATAACCCTCTACGAGTAAAAAAACAATTGTTTATATGTAATGAAAACGCATGCAAATAAGGTAAGTTTTTAACTTTTGTTTGACCATTATAAATCATAATACGTGACTGCGCTTAATAGTTATTTTATAAAAACGTAACCCAGCATGATTAACGTGATACTATAATTTAGTTATTTTTTTATAATATGTAGGTATAAGGTATACTCATGCAGATTAACTTATTTCAATTACTTTGTACATAACAAGACGCTTAATATTAAAAGTTCTTCAATACCGGTTCGTATAATAAATAATGATACATATGGGCGTTGGCCATTTTCATGTTTTATATTATTGGTAAAGTAAGTTCTAATCGTTTAGAAAAATGTGTAGCGGCTATAATTGATGTGCGATGTGTCTATTTAGTACTTGGAGCGTCGGTCGGCTGCTATAGCCGCTTGGGGAACCATTTTAAATATTTACTCTATATCCTCGTTATCTTTTGTTTTTTGATCAATAATTCTATACTTTTATTATTTATGAAAGATTTTAATAGAGATTTAAAGACTTAGCAGGTTGCATAAATTACCAACATTTAAGATCAATTAAATTTAGAAAGAAATTCAGCATTATCAACCCTAATTAATCTCTTAAAAAATGTATAGCTTATTTGTTTTTAACGCATTAATTTTTACAAATAATTATTGAATGATGTATGACATATGATGCGGTACTCGAGTATTGTATAAAATTACTAATATGTATAGACGTGTATTTAATACAGTACGTCAGCACGAAATAATTCGTAAATTTTTTTCGTGACGAATAACTAAATGGACCACTGTTGTAAACATTAAAATTGAAAACATGCAGTAAGGTTTTTAGAATTGAAAAAACGCCCAAAATTAACTCGATAATAGAGCATTAAGTTCACGGTTATAATAATAATTATGTGTCTATACCTTAGAATGTATTTACTAAGGATAGAACCATCATGCCGGGGAAACAATTTTATGCACATCCAACAGCGACGAGTATCTGGTTTATATACGCATGCGTAAGTACCTATGTGTCTCATCGAAAGACTTGTAGCTAATTATTTTTTTTTTTAATTATCGGAATTTATATGCCACATGGGTTCATCCGCATATAGTAGGTATATCATGTAATCTGAGGTGCTCACATACCGGACATGAAGACGTCAATGGGATTGACGGACGATGCCCTGACGCGCACCAGAACTTCTTTGGGCCCGAGGGACGCGGGCGATTCTGCCTTGTCGTTGAGCTTGGCCGAGTCTTTAAACGGCGCGTAGGCGTCAATCTGCCAAGCCGTCATTCGGTCGGGCCATGGTCGCTCGCCGTCAGCGGCAGAAACGTCCGTCTTCGTCATGTCGTGGTTGCAGAGCTGAATTATGGGTACTGAGGTACTATACGGCTCGTGTTGGAGATTGGTGGACGAGCATTAACCGAACGACAGAACTACGGGCGAGAGGTCGCACGCGAGAATGACGCAGTAACGCGGTGAATGGTGATTATCCCACGCTGTGGACAGACGGGTTTACTAATCACACAACAAATTGTGTTGTAGTTCGGACCTAGGCTATGACGGTGGTGGTAGTGGTAGTGGTAGCGGTAGTGACGAAATACTACGACCCATCTATCATCTACATAGTTATAATAATATATTATATAGGTATACGCAACTATAATATGCTCGCACTGCTATCGGTGAGCCAAAAAACTATTATTGTAATTTGTGTATAATTATAATAGATTAGTTCAGCCAGTTGTGCTCGTACCTACGAATTACGATAAGTTCATCTCAACAAGTGACGTCACATTCACTCTTGTCCATAAAATAGATTATATTAAAATAATAATAATAATAATAATAGAGACGAATTAACAAAATAAGTAACTATCACATTGTCACAGATGTATTTACATCTTACACATTGTAAATTAAACACGAATATTTTTAATACAATTAATGTTTATAAAATATTGCTATTAAAATATAATGTATATGTATACGAGTTACCCGCAATAATTAAGAAAAACTATAGGTAATCGTAATGGTAAGTAATAATTGGTATCTACTATCTACTATCTAATGGTAAATACATGCATTTGCAATTATTAAACGTTGTTTTAAAACAAAATTACTTCGCCTATGATTATAAAAAAATCCTAAGATCGTAATATCATTCAAAGCCGGAACGTAATGCAGAAAGGCAAGTGTATTGTTATGGACATGACTTCATGAGCGACGAGCGCCACAAGTCGCCGCGACCACGAAATAAGATATTATTCATAATATGCAATATAAAGAATATAATATACAATAATCATAGGTATGCGCACAAAGTATTCAGGGTATGTACATACCCTGTGCCTCACTGTGGGCTAGGGGCAGACATTTTTTTGAAGGCATAATATAAACCAATAAGTAATAACCAAAAAATAAAAAATAACAAAGTTTTTGGAACAGGTACGATTACCATATGATATGTCAAATATCAATACCTTAATTATGTAACAGAATTATGAAATTACATCATTTTCATTAAACACGTCTAAAAATACATGTTTTTATTTTTCAACATAAAAAAAAATGTTGAAGTACCCATTATTTTCTTAGTCTGTGACCTGTGGTTGTTCTGTGTTATAACTAACAACCAATAAGAAGCAGTGATACAGTGATAGTTAAAATGGTTATCAACTTATCATAAATTAAATTAAAGTAAGAAATAAGTAGATATTATATACAGAATAGATTTGATAGATTTCAATATTATTAACCTATTCTATAAAACGATCTGAGTATTTGTTTAGGGACATTTATTTTTTAGAGTATCAGCATTTTTTATCAACCACATACCCTACGAATGCCCACGACAATTTACGCAATATAATAATACATGGTTCATGAATGCCGAAATGTAATATAATATTTGGATTCTATGAAGTACGAGATATATATAATATAATATAGCCGCAGAATAGATTAAATCTATTCTATGATATAGATGCAAGATATTGATGAAATGCGCATAATAACATATTATCATATAAGAAATGCATTATCGTGATTTTTCAGTTTTTCATAAATATCAATAAATAGATTAACATATAATGTGTACAATAAACATTTATTTATTTATTGTAAATATCTGTGATTATATATAATATAATAATCTTTGTACTATTGTAGTGGTTATTTCTGTCGAAGCGACAATACCATAAGACAATAAAAGCTGACAATACTAAGTTGCATAATCAAAACAGTTAACATTTATTTTTTTATAATGAATCGATAGGGGACTAATGGTTCCTCCTTCGACTCTCTTTTAAACACGATTCAGAGGCCTTTGATTGGTTCATAAAATTAACTTATTTTGTATGAAAGTATGCACCGTAGCATTAGACTTTAGATGATAGATAAGCCGATAAGGAAAACCAAAGTATTGTTATTTAACAAGGTGGATTTATAAACATTTATTTATTAATCCACGTCTGTTATTTAGTATTAGTTTACGTGATTACCTGCATAGTATATTATGTATTATAACATTAGGTAGGTACTACCCCCTAGGTATGGTCGTAGGATACGTTCTGTATGAGCTTATATGATGTTACGAATACGAAATGTCCATATACCTAACGTTATTATTGTTTATGTGGCAGCATTTAATCACAATTGTAGCAAGACTTAAGAGACTTAAAACGGACTTACATAAAAGTAGAAATGAAAAATCTCCAAACAGCGGGATCAATTTAATTTCAAATATTCTGTGCTTAAACTTGTATCTTGTTCAAAAAATATTAATTGAAAATGTAAATTAATGATAAATTGATAACGACTAAGTGTGATAAGTGATATCAGTTTAAAGTTTAACAGGCAATAAAAAAAAAAACTCTTCTGATTTCTTGATGTGATCCATGAACTAATCATATACTTGTTATTGACATTAAAAACATCAAAAAATGACCTGAAAGCAATGCGACTATGACATAAAAATGACAAAAAATGTCCTTAAAAAACGACCTAAAATAATTACAAATATTTGTTTTAAATTTATAAAAATACATTTTTTTAAATATTTTACTATAACATTTTGTATACATTTATCAAAGCTAACAAATTGCTCAAAATATGGCACACAAATAACAAATAATGTCCCTAAAAATGAAATAAAAAATGACAAATATTTGTTTTATAAATTTATCAAAACTTACAAAAGAAACGATTAAAAGTGAACTAGTGTGAAATCCGTAAACATAACTAAAAATGTGGGAAAATGACCTAATAATGAGTTAAAAAGTAATTAACACCAAAAAATGAAAAAAAATGCTATTTAAAAATTAGTTGTTCAGATTCGGATGCTAATGAAACACATTTGTGGTCAGGAGAGCATTGTCTAAAAGTTTCAAAAAAAAAAATTCAAAATGCATCAGCTTCTCAGCCCTACTTATTATTATTAAATAACTTAATTTATGGGTTAGACGTAGGCAATAAATTGAAATTTAACAATTATACTGACATTTTATATTTTGTAAAGAGAATAAGTAATTTTAATGTGAACAATTGTAATATGGCAGCGACATTTTTCAATAAAATTATGCTCTAAAAATCATAGAATATGTATTTTTAGCCAATAACACTAAAATATGTAGAAAATGAATTATAATTCATAAATTATAAGTATTTAATTTTTAATAGTAATTTGTTTATTTTTTTTATACAATTTCAAATACATTTCTAAACTAACATGATCATTCTACATATACTGATGCTATGGAAGCATATTTGAAGAATGCAAGATCCTCAAACCTTCAAATCTTCTTCCATTCCTTCCCCCGGAATTTATTTTAGAAATATGTACCAGTCTTAAATCCAAAATTCTTTTCAATTACTTTCTGAAATTTGTTGTAAATTTTTTTTCCTGTTTTTCCTTGAGGGTTTCTCTAGTATTATTGAAAATTTCAATTGACTCAAGCAAAGTCAGTCAAGTGATTCTAATTTAGTTATGCTGACTGGTAAACATCTAAAGTTGGACTGAATATATGTTAAGTTTGGGCCTAAATTAGGGTCAGCCATAATCCTAATTAAATTTTTTATATTTCATTAATATAAATTGTATTGACGTTTTATAAAAATGATTTCAGTTTTAAACTACAAAAAAAGTAGAAAATATCAGGAGACAGATATCCCATCTCAATAATTGAGAGGGATGAAACGTACATTAAATGGTAATTTTTTCAAAGGAACAAATCTAAGAAAATACTTCTCTGGCCGTGTTAATACTACATATCTACATTCATGGCTAAGCGTGAAAGACATAATAAATAATTTATTTTTACCTTAAGTTTATCAGGGCTTACCAAATTGTTAACAAATTATAGTACCTACTACAGTATACTAAACATAACATATTATTATAATGTAACATAATATTTATAATACATAAAATAATACATGTAATAATATATCATTATGCATTAATGCCCATTATTACATTAGCAAACTTAAACATTTGCCAAAATTTAATAATGACTCATTCATACTGATAACTAGTTTTAAGTATTTATAATTGTAAAATTTATTTATTTTGTGCAATCTGCAAGTTTTTTAAAATTATTATTTGAGTAGTTTCAAGTATCAGTTTTGAAATTTAGCTAGATAATTCAACCTAAAATAAGTTATTTAAAAACGTATCATAGAAGCATAATTTATTTTTTTAAAGGACTAAATCAGAACTTAATACCATTTGGTAATAATATCAATTTTTAACAAACAATTTAATATAACAGTATTAATAATAATTTATTATTACTAGGAATTTTTCTTAAAAAAATAATATTTATGAAAACAAATCAATTTTAAAACTATTAACAGATAACAAAATTGTATATAATGATTCATCATTATTCATTATGGTAAACATCAAAATAAAATCTATCATTACAATAAATAGCATTCAATTAGTTAATCTAGCTTTATCCATACTAGGTTTATCAAAAGTTATAATAACTTTTCCTCTCAGATGTCCATCTTGTACTCGTTTATATGCATCTTTAAGGTCCATAAATTTAAAAGTTTTTTCCAGAGGAATTAAAATTTTCTTTTCTTCGGCTAACTTAGCCAGTTCTTTTACACCACACTCTATTGGAAGGAACGTACCCCATCGTATTGAAGATCCTTTAAATACTGCTCCAGATAAAATGTTTGGAACTAGAAGGTCAATAGCATTTTTAACCATGCCCCCTACCAAGCCATATGAATCCGTATTGTGTAAAAGGGGACTCCTAAGTGTAATAAAAGTGGAACAAGACCAACCTTTTAACAAAGGCATGTAAGCACCAATTTTATTATATGATATTCCTGCTGCATCTAAAATTATATCATACCTGAAAAAAAAAATTGTAGTTAAGATTATTCTTGAGGCTTTTAGTAGTGTCAAATTGATATCCAATTCAAGAATGAACAAATATGAAATAATGTACCAAAACCAAACATTATATTTTGAATAGCATTAATAAATGTTTTTAGTATATTTTTTAATATGATTAAAATTCAATATAATTGTAACCAAGGCCGTAACTGGAAATTAATTTCGGGGGGGGGGGGGGATTGATTGAACCCCAAACTCCCCCCCCCCAGGTACGGCCTTGATTGTAACTAATATTTATAAATATAATGTTTGCATACTTTCCATGTTCTTCCAACTGTTGTCGTGCATCTTTAGCTGTGTAATCTATAATATTGTCAGGCCCAAAACTTTTCACTAAGTTTATGGCTGTTGAATCACAAGTAGTAGTAACCTAAATAAAAATTAATCAGTGAAATAAAAAAACTTTTCTGATTAAAAAAATGTACATAATATATTTTGAAATGAGGAAGAGAATCGCATATAATATATTAAATGATTTTGAAAATTAAATATGAGCTTAACATTTTTAAGGAATAAGTACTAGTTTTTAAATTGAATAACACAATTGATATAATACTAATTATATATGAAATAATTTTTAGTTATTTAAATACATAATTGTTACTGTTATTTAATATTATTAATTATTTTTTATAAATAAATGAAAATATACTGAAATGCAATTGATTTTAACTTGATGCCATACAAAATCATATGCCTATACAATTTTATTTCATCAAAGTATATTTAAAAGAAATTAATTTAATCTTTCAATAACAGACATCTAATGTTTTCTTTTCTTTTTAGTTTAAACGGATTCTTTAAAAAAGAGTAATATATCATTTTCAATTAAAATGTTTCACTTAGCCCTTAACAAAAAAATGTATAATCAGAAATCAAGACTATATGCCATCCCACAATATATGTATTAATACTAACATATTATATTATTACTACTAAAATTCTTATGTTGAAGATAAAAACGAAAGATCATTTGTATGTTTAATTATTGTTAATTGTGATCAACACTTATTGGTTTAAATCAAAATTGAGACTAATTTCTAAATACCTTAGCACCCCAATGCTTTAATAATTGTATGGCACAATTACCAACACCTCCGGATCCACCAATGACTAGTATGTTTTTATTAGTAGCTTTCATAACATATAAGCCTCCAACCAATTTCAAAGCAGACCATGCAGTCATGCCAGTGTATAATAATCCTGCCGCCTCTTCATTTGTCAAATGATCTGGTTTCTTAGCTATCTAAAAGAACATATTGTCAATCTTACTACCCTGGACATATTATGTTGATGAAAATCTAAGATCAATATAGTTTTGTACCGTACCAGACCTTCAGGAACGGCAACAAATTCTGAATGGCAACCTTGATGGAAAGGAGGCACTACACCCATGACCACATCACCGACATTAAAGCTCTTGACTTTTACTCCTTTGGCTATGATTTCTCCACAAAAGTCACGTCCCAAAGTCAGTGGGAACTCAACAGGTTTGTGCAGGGACAATTGCTCTGCTTGCCGGATGGTGCCCAATAGTACCTGACCAAAGCCCTCTGAAAACCGTGAAAGGACGGAAATTATTATAGTATTGTCCAATGAGTACACACACTTCTCGACTTCTCTTTTCCGTCAGTCACCACTCACCAGCCATGAGAACGTCGAGCGGGTTGACAGATGAAGCTTTGACGCGAACCAACACTTCATGGGCCGCCACCATGGTCGGTGACCTGGCATTACTGGTCAGCACCAGATCATCGATGGTGCTGTACGAATGAGCTTGCCAAGCGATCATTTTCGACGACCAAGTCTGGGTCTGTGTCGTTTCAGTGTTGTGATCGGTCTCGGTGATGTCGACGGTCATGTTGTCGGCGGTGGTGATGCAGCTGGTAGTTAACGTGCGTCGTCGAATCGTCCGAACCACGAACGTGTTCTTCGAAGGCGAGATCGGAAATGAACGAAAGACTAATCTGAATATTGTATTTGATTGAGACATATTAGTAATATATTAAATTATTATTGTTGTTCGATCTCCACCGGATTCGTGCTGATGATGCCCCCTCTGACCACTATCAGTCGGTTATCACACCGGTTGCTAATATTATCCCTATAATGATAATAATAATTAATAATAATACGATTATTGTCGTTATTTCTCACTGTCTAGTCACTAGGTACTCTCTCTTTCTTTAATTTCAGCAATTAAAGTCACTACCTAATAATAATTAACTATTCGTTTTATAATTTATTACATTTTTGTCCATTGCGTAATCATTAATCGTTATCGAAGCAATTAATATTATTATTATTAATATTATTACAGTATTACTCGATGCCTGTACATTTTTTTTTATAGTTACCTATTACTTATTCTACACCTACTTCCTTGATAAATATTATAATATTATTATTTATTATGTACCTACCATATCTACGGACGCAGTGGCGCCTTACTCTATAGCTTTAAAAAGTAAATCGAAAGTCCAAAATGGGTGCATAGGCTTATTCATGAATATGAGGCATGAGATGGGCACGAATTATTTAATAATAATGTCTTAATATATTTTATTCGTGGATATGGGATACATAATACCTATCATAATTTTGTATTGTGGTACAAAAATAAACCACTGTAGAATCATGGAACGCTATATGATCCACGGAAGAACGTCAGAACCACCAAATTTCTAAGCCCAGCGTACTGATGGATTTGTACACGCAAAGACCCAAAGTTATTACTTTCCAACATTATTAAAAACCTAAAACATAAGGAAAATTATGATTATAACTCACCGGAAAAATACTAAAAACTATACATAAAGCGTTTATGACTGATCGAGTATTGACAGACATTCCCACCAAATAGTTTCATATTTGATACCTGGAAACCCGTTTTAAGCAAAACACTGTTGTTTTGTAGTTTATTTAAATCCTATTGCAAAATTTGCTTTCAACAAAAATGTTTCAAAACCTTAGAACCTTAACATATTTTTAGAAGATCTTGTAAAGATCTGATAAAGTGGTCATGTGTAAACTTTTGTTGTGCTGTGAAAAATATGTAAATTTAGAAATAAAACCACTGAAATAATGTATATTTTGTGATTTTTTACCCAAACGTAAATTTTCTATTGAAAATTTAAGCAACTCTACATGACCCCGGTATCTACGATAGTAGTTGATCTTTAATTTTCAACATTTAATCTCATATAAAACAGTGCTTCGTAATGAACCTGGATATGATTGTTTAACGGGACTTCTCTATTCTATTTTTTGTCGGTTCATTGGGAAGCTTATTATATTTCTACAGACGAAGTACCTATTGGATACAATAGCTATAACACATAAAATTCATATCAGGTAAGGTACCAACATATACATTAGTTATACTTTTGAAAATAAATATTATGTTATAATTTTGTGAAGACTGAAGAGGATGAACAGTGATTCTTAGCCTCCTCCTCCCGAAAGTTCTGGCCATACATTCCTCTATTTTTATTCTCCGTAGGTAATGTAATTTAAAGTTGAATTTACGTTTTATTTTTACCTATATCTGGCATGTGCATCTAGTACATGGTACATTTATTTGTTCATTAATCATTATAATATCATAATATCTATTATAATTTATGAGATTAAATATTCGTCGGGTGGAGAGGACGATAATCAATTAGTCTCTTGCTTAGTTTCTTCCACCTCTTATGATTCTTAAAAAAAATAATGTATTGGTCGTACAAGTGAAGTATAGGATAAAATTAAAAAACTATTCGAATAATACTTATTTAATAATAATGTGGTAAATATAAAATGAAACTTTTCTTTTTAAAGGGATTCAAATAATGACTTGCTTCACTTAAAAATGATGACTTATAGAAGCCGTTGCCTCCGGACAATAAGTAGGTACCTACAATTATTTTTGATAAATCATACATATATATGCAATATGCTAACACCTTCACAATGATTATAAGACGATTTCATAAAAAGCTGGTATGTGGATGTCGCTCTGCTGTACATTAGGTGCCAATAGGAGGTAGCTGTAATGGATGGTATTAAATTTGAATTCAATGATATCATATCATTGTATACGAAAAACGATTCTGAGCGGGGACGGTAGGTCAGTCTAGAATATTTTATATTGTTATTACTTATTATTAATGTGGTAGCCGGTAAGTAGAATTAATATTATCCTTAAGTTATCAGTGATGCTGGAAAAATATTTAAAAAAATTATGTAAAATTGGGCTGTTTTGGAACCTAATTATTCTTTGTGTTAATATGTAATTTTGTCCAAATTTGAACTTAAAATGTCTGTACGAAATAATTGTATTTATATATTTTCCAGATTTTTTAGTTACGGTAAAAACTGCTAAGTTTAATATTGTTTAAAATGTTTAATCCTTAGCTATAAAAATTGAAAATTATCTAAAATAGTAATAATTGATTATTTTTCACAAGTCGGAAATGTGGGGAACGACTATTTACTATTTAGGTTGATTAAAACATAATTATGTTCAAATTTAAGTGGATGACCGATCACTTTTATTTTCGTTTACATATAATATACATAAAATATCAATCTATTTTTACAAGAGCAGCAGACATGAGTATAATATACTCCGTAATAGTGTAGGTAATTGCAGTAATAGTCCTTTAAACCGGCCAATAAATCAAATTTAATATTTTAATTCTTAAAATAATATTAAATTTGACGCAAATCGGTACCGTATAACGTGTTCCTAATTTCCAATATCGATTAATTAATGCAAATAAACTATAAAATTGTATTTATAAACAAATATTTGCAAATTATGAAGTAAGGTTATTTTGTTATTGTTAGAACACTTTAAGAAAAATTCATTTATGCATAAGCTATTAAACTCTTTGATAGTTAACATAAAAGGTTACGTGTATTTATTTATTGCTTTTTCGGAATCGTGATAAATAAGGTGTATGATGATGATTTAGCTAGGTAAGATACAAAAATACTGAAATGAATTTTTATGAAGATTAAATTATTATTTATTCGACCATTAATCTCAATGTCACTGTAACCAGCAATTATTATTTTGAGCATTTGCTAGTTAGGTATATTATTATTTATAATTTATACAAATATTAAAATGTAGCAAATTCATTGGCGGTATTCATTTACACACGTCTATATGCTTACGCCTTAAAAGTTAGATCCCATTTATATTATGAGTGATACCTATATAGTTGATTAGGTTAGTTAAGATTATGTTGTAAATTATTAGAAATAATAAAATAATAATGTATAAAACTATTTCATATCCTCTCTCCCAGTAACCCTCAAAATATGTCAAATCAAATGTCTTTAAATGCACAATAATTAATTTTGAGATGACATAAAAAACTAATTGTTTCTGTCGAGTGCAGAGATCTCAATTCCCAACAGGTTCATTAAATAATATTTAGGAAGGTTCTTAGGAAAATACCGTTAAAATTTCCATTTTGTTTGCCAATATTTTACTTAGATTTTATTTACACAACTTTTCGATGTATGTATAAATATTTTTCATAGGATGTATGTACTGTGTCGATCGGTGTAAAATTTAAGAGAGCACTAGCCATTTATATACGATTTTGCATCTTATAGGCTACGGTTACTATAAATCAAATAATATGAGTCAATGTTTAATTTATTTATTTATACACTTATTTCATTCAGCCAATTTCTGAACATAATTAATTATATAGATTGGACTCATAAAATAAATGCATAATACAATATCATCTAATTATTTAATCTATATTATGATTTATGACAGCATGATTTTATATGACACATGGATAGTTATTCCTTGTACATTTATTCATTAATTTTCAAATAGCCAATAGACAGTATACCTGTATGAGTATAAAGATTAAAGTTCGTTTCTAAAATTATAATAGTAAAAATAGTAATAGTAGTTTAAATGTGTGTACATACATTATTTCAATTAACAACAAGCAGTTATTGTACTTATAACTATATTATAGGTCTGCTATATTTAAAGTTTTTACTTTTGAGTGTACCTACCCTCTTTTTTCTTAGTCATAGAGTGGGTCACTGTAATAGGTGTGTTAAAATTTGAATTCAATAAATCAAGAAAAACAATTCTATATATCAGCCTGTTTTTTTTATCAAAAAATAATATATACATAATAATTTTAAAAATTACAAAACATATTATTGATTATTTATCTCCTATAAGCTAAGCTTGTGTTGGAGATTGAGAGTTAAAGATTTTATAAATTATAATACCTATACAAATTGTTAATTATAAAACTATTTCTAAGGATATTTTATAATTTATTAATAATAAGTAGTTTTAATAATATTATTCATTTATTTTTTTTTTGATTAGGAATACCTACCTACAATACCTACGGATTGTTGGAATAATTGTTGTGCCTACATTTATTATTAAAAATAACATTATAGTTACATAATGTTATATTTATCTTAACTATTTTAAATTCAACTGGCTATAAAAAATGGATGTTATTTTCCGGTTAACTTTTTTTTAGTTTGAAGTAAAAACAATTAAGGGGACACTTCTATTAAATTTTCTAATACTATAAAATGAAACATTTTCATGAATTTTCAACTGAAAAATAATTTTCATATCTTTGACAAATTCCGTCAAAATAAAACTTTGGACAATCATAAAAATGTATAGTGGATTTATGATCAACTTTTTTTTTAATTATACTATTCTGACAACTCATGAGGAACCCTTTATTACAATTTCAATAGGTTTTTGATCGAAGAACAAATTATTTATCGACGATAATAAATTGCAAAATTTCTCACAGCTATATAGGTAAAATAGTTTAAAATGAGTCAAAATAGTTTGATATTTTTTCATCTATGAATTATGATCATAAATAACAATTATTTTAGTGGGCATGATAACAACGAATTTATTGTGAGGACCCAATGTTCTGTAGCTTAGAAGAAAATAACAAGCGTATAAGAATTTCATTTGAAATATTAACAAATAACAATAGTGGTACAAAGATCAGGTTAACTTTGTGGTGAGTGTGACACAAGGGTCAAGGAGTTGAGAAAATGAGAAACGTTAGTCGACTTGAAACAACATTCAATCATTGGAAGAACCAGTGGCGTAGAGTGCGGGTGGTATCTACTATAATGATATTGCGTATGCACGGCAAATATTTATTTTATTATTACTTAGTATTTTATGATTCGATATTTTCTGGATTAATATTATCTTAGTAGTTTATGGGGGTTGAACAATCCGCTACGCCGGTACACCATGGCTTCGAAATAACGAAGTAATATTAGGTAGTATATTAGTATATTACATAATATAAAAATGTGTTTAATTATACCTATTTGGCTACTTACATTATTACAGTAATACACTATATCTGAACAGAAGCATCAGTCAGAAAATCGTCGCTTACAATATGTGCTACAAATTGTTTACTTTGGTGTGATGGACATGGCTCCGTCCATAGTGATAGTCATGTCTTAAGGTGTCAACTATCAACATATAGGTAGTTCAACTTGATAGACAAACACTAAGAATATTTTTGCTGAAAGTGTCCTAGTTAACACTCCATTAGTCACGAGGTCTTTCGTAATCTCGGGGGGGGGGGGGGGGGGGAATAAAATCGCAGAGCTACCGACTACTAATTTTAAATTCGTGCAAACGAGTATGTGTGAATAGCTAGGGTCCGTAAACACACTCCCGTAGTCCCGTTCCCAGTATCGGTTATTGATCGTCTTACCGTTCGTAAAAATTCATTTTCAGTGCACTCGCTATTTTTACATATACAGTTCGCGTAAAACACGGTGCGTCCCGATATTCGGCTTCTCTGCGGCTGTATGTAAACTGCAGCAAAATTACTCTTATATTTTATTACGCAGTAGAAAAATGCGCCCAATCGATAACATATACCATGATATAATCAAAATACAAGCAATAAGCATCACAATGACATTATGTATATCTGTGGCGATACTGATCCCGCATTCCCGCATCATAGACCATCATATTATTATAACCTAAATAATAAGTAATAGCTAAATATACGTCTTATGTAGTATTACCAATGACGGAACCTCCGTATATTATGAGTATGATTAATAAGTACAAAATGAACTCCATAAAGTCCATGTTTCGCATACACTTGTGATGGCAGGGGCGGACCTTGGATATTTTGATAGGGGGGGGGGGCACACATAGGCGCGCCCAGGAATTTTATCAGGGGGTTGCAACTTGCAAGTATACTCTGATTTCTAAATAACACTTGTATATGTAATAATAATAATAACAATAACAATAGTAATAATTATAATAGTAAAATTAAATACGTAAAAATATTTTTTGAAAATGTATACCTAATGATACAAAGTTACTTCAGTTTTTTTTCAACGTCTACTATGTAACGCGGCTTAGTGGCTACTATGAGAAAATTCGAAATTAAATTGAAGAATTTGGAAAAAAAACCTAGACGTTTATCTTTATTATTTACAAAAAAGGTATTATTATACATAATATAAATAATATTTATAGACAATTATGTAAAATAAGTTTAATAATAAATAATAGAAATAATGTAGAAAATTATGCAAAATAAAACTGTTTCAATACCATTCAATTTTTTTAATTTAATTTTTAAAAGTATTCTTTAAGTATTCTGGATACTTTTAAAAAGTATTTTTAATAAAATGTTAATACTTGGATTTAAAAACCATTAAGTCCGTTTTATTATTTATTTTTCAAAACAATTGACATCAATAAAAATAATATTGTTTTCGTTGAAATAATATTATAATCATTATAATTCTCTATCTTTATAGTTGATACTTCTAAGAACAATATTTTATTGTATTATACTATTATTGTTATTTAAAAAAAGTAATAATAATATAGTATAGTGCTATAGCCGTACAGTCGTACAAACGTGTAGTTTCATAGAATATAATTTATACAAATGTACAATTATTGTACAAAATAAGATCTAATCATTTTAAAATAGATAAATATTAATAGTTAATACTAATTTTTATTTATTTTTATTAATATGTGTCTAGAAATATAAACGTTAACCTGTATTTACCTCTAAATGGCCTGACATGTTATAGTATTTTTAAAATCGTTAAAATAATAAAATCTATGGTGGTCAGTAGTAATATTATATAGGTACGAGGTACCCGTAGGCTGGGTGAACGGACACCTAGATCCCCGTCCAAATAGATCCCCGTGATCTAAATGACACAACGGGATCTAATTGACAGGGGATCTAAATAACCATAGGGAACTAGTTGACACCATCGTAGTTGGGGATCTAAATTACCCATTTGGCGTTTAGATCTCCCTTGATCTACTAGATACCCCTAGGTAGGCTGCAGTGGCGCTGCACTGATTTATAGCATATTATTAAAATTAAAAAAAAAAATTGTATTTGTATTTAAATACTTTGTGAGTATTCGTAAAATAAATTTTTAAAGTATTTTTAATACTATTTTATTCAAATACTAGTAATAGTATCTTAATACTTTTTCAAATGTATTTTTTACAAGACCGGCCTACATATAATATATACCGTATACCTTCTTACCCCGGACTTTTTAAGCTTAGGACTTATCCACTGCAGAATTTTTATGCCTCGGACTTTTTTTATAACGTAATTTAAATATGACTACAAATGATTATTATGTTTTAACATTACCCGTGTAAAAACGTGTGTATGTCTAAAAACATTACCACGAAGCAAGTCCAAATATAAAGAGACAAATTGTTGCCAATTCTTTAGAAATAAAAGCAAAGATCAAGTAATAACACGACCACTGAAAATAATTCACAATAAAGTGCAATCAATGCAGTTGATTTGCCATTAAACGATGTGCATTATACATATTTATTAAACTTGTAGACAAATTTTACCACAATTACCAAAAAATTAACAGAAGTATATTATGTATATCATTAAACTATATAAATTAAATGTCATGTTGTATTGAATAAAATAAATATTTTAAGGCTGTGATTTAGCACAAGTCTTTCAACCCTGAAAATTACCGGATGCAATTGGTAAACTCACATTAACTGCCCTGACCATGATCATACGTCCCCAAAGTATTTATGAAAGTAATTTTCGTATCCTTATCCACTCCACTCATAATGTTGTTTCTTTTTTGACAACAAATTATGGATATAATATAAACCAGACATATAAATTTATATAATATTTCAGTAGGTCAGATATATCAGACTGTTGCAGAAACACATATATTTTTTTTCATAATGTTCATAAAAAAAAAATTAAAATAAGTAATGATATGGTGGAAGTCATTAAATTGCACTATACAATTACACAAGACAATGAAATAAACATGTTAATATTATTTTAAAATCTGGCACTATATTTTTTGAATTTTATTTAATAATTAATAACATACAACCATTTTAGATTAATCATTAAAATTAAACATAATAAAAATATATATTTTAAAGCTCAGTTAAATTACTATAACAAATAACTTGAACAACATTATCGAATATATTATAAGTATTGTTACTTGTTGGCGCCAAAATCACCAAATGAAAGATCTATGAGCAATAATAATTAAGTTATAAATCAATAATATTCTAAAAAATAATAAAAATATATAATAAAAATAATAATAAGGAACTATAATATTGTTTGTGTATAATATTTTTAAAACACTTTTACTTGGTTTTCCGTGATTAAATATATTAGCATATGTCAGTTATGCTAAATCACAAATTATAATGGTTCAAATCTACATTGGTATTAACTAAAGCAGTTCTAATTCACCTAAATTTTTTAGTTCTAGTTTAAACAATATTTATTAGAAAAAAAAAAACATTGAATATAAAATACACTGACAAATATTTATCATATTTCGGTTTAGTAATAATCTATTCAAAGTAACGAGTATTGTATGAATAATTAAATTAAATTATTTATATTATATTATTATAATATTAAAACAAACTAAAAGTGCATTAATATTCAGTTCATCTATTAGCTCCTTATTTTGATATAACTTGTTGAAAGTAGTCATGTTTGAACATTCACAGATGTACACATTTTCTTACGGTTCTCCTCCAATAATAGGTTCATCTGTAGGATAGTGTACGACAGTTCTCAATCTTCTGGGCACAGCTTTTAATAAGTTATTGTAAATGCACATGCCAATAAGCAACAGAAGGAATCCAACAGGCTATAAAGATATAATTTTATGTAAATTAACATTTATCTATTTTTATTTGAATTATTTATCAAAAATAACCTTTAATTTAGACATGTTTAATGAGGTACAGCAATGGTTAAAATATTAAAATGTTACCTGAAGTGGATTGAATGTTTGCCAGCCAACTGCCAATGAAAAAGTCCAAATGAAGAATGTTCGAACGGAATCCAATACCATTCTAGTAGTTGCAGATATTTCCTTAGCAACACTTATACCAGAAAAGTTGAAATAAGCAATGCTTATTATGTTTCCTGGAAGTAAACACACATTAGAATAATAATACAAGAAACACACCATACTAGTGTATAAGTCTTTAACATTTACCGACTAATGCAACTAGAATCCATTTATTGTTCATTATTTGAGTAATAGCATCTGGAAAATCTTCAATGACCCCACGAGAGTTATTACCAGCAAGTGGAGAACCGACATTGATATAATAAAATGGTACTAAGAGCAAACTCATCATCAGGAATCCAAATAAACCTTTAAAAAGTAATTAACATATAAATATACCATACTTAAATCATCATTTATTGTAATAAGACTATACAGAAGATGTAGCATGGGTGGACTAATCCACAATGTGCACCACAATCAACTAAATTTCAAAGATTTATTTCAGGTTGTAACTTAAAATAAATTATTATTTGTTACTAGAAATTAAACATTTTTATTTTTTTGTGATGCGTAAATAAACAGTTAATGTTTATATTATAAATTACAGTGCAATTAAATGTTAGATACTTGAAACATACAATAACAAAATATACATTTATTTTATTTATGCAACATATTTAAAAACATTTTTTTCTTCGGAATATTGGGCTATATGGGTCCCAGTCTATCTCTGAGGTGATTACAGAGCCCAGGACCACTATACAATGAAATATAAGAAAATTGATGCTTTCAAAAATGTAGTTTTCATGTATTTAATAAGCACTTGGTTTAGGAAGCACCTGTTAATAATTTAATATTAATCTGCTTGAGCATAGTTTTGTTATGCACATAATATATGAATGAAATAGATTAGGATAACCATTAATGTACTTAAATGAAGTAGCATTCTATTAAGTTATTATATAGAATATTAATACCTTCCCAACCAACAGCTTGTAATGGTGGAATATCATTTGAAACAACATATTTTTCTTCATACACCATTTGAGCAGCTGTTATAATCTGAGCAAATAAGATCAATGAGTCACCTAAAAATAAATAATAAATATGTACTTTGATATAGACATGTTCTATTTTACTAACAGCATCAATATATTATTATGGATTGATTATTATTTATTACCAAGAATGATGTCATTAGTAGATTTTGAGTTCGAATCAGTTGACAACAAATCTGATATACCAACTGTGGCCAATCCAATAATTATTGTAAATATGCCCAACCAATGGCGAACAGATACTTGTCGATGGACAAACATTTTTGAAAATATAGCAGTAAAGATTATTACAGCACCTTAATAAAAAATGAACAATGTATTAAATAAGTAGCAATCTATTAAAAGGATGCTACACTTGAGCTTGAACTTTTACATAACAACCTACATAACCATTTTCTTATTCCAGTTTATTTATAGTTAATATAAGAATAAATGTACATACATATAACAAATTGTTGAATTTGTAGAGGAGAGAATAAATTATATCTGAGCAAAGAGGTTTTTCGCATATATTGATTTGAAAACTCTTTGCTCATAGTTTGTTTATATTCTTCTCTAAAAATTCAGTTATCATTAATTTTGATGTAACATTAACCATAAATATACTGTAGTATGAATCTGGTAAAAAGATTGTCTATGTTCCACATATGTAAGTAGAGGCAACACATAGAGGTGTAGAGTTCATTATTATTATATTATCAACAAGCTTAATAGTGTAAATAAGCTGATTATAATAATACCTCTTAACATTTGAAAACTAGAGGCAAAAGTCATTGTGAGACCAATGTACATAAGTGAAGTGGCCACCAAATCAAACATTGCCGGGATAAAGAACAAAAATGGATTGAATTGTTGATTGCCTTTAACTATTGGACTATCCTCAATCGGATACTGTAACAAAAATATTATTTAATTTATTTAAAATTTGGTAATTTTATTTAGGAAAAAACTTACTTGTCTTTTTACGTGGTATCTATAAGCCAATTTGAAGAACAACAAGCACAAAAATTCTCCAAAAAACATGGTCAATGATTGAAAAAATGGATGGTCAAAAGTATGCTCCTTGCCATCTGAACCTTTAGCTTTAAGATTATCAGCCCATCTAAACCAATAATTATATTAATATAACATGGTATAATACAATAAATTCATTATTGCAAGAAGGGGATATTTGGGAAATTACCACCTTTGAGACTTTGAGAAGTGCAAATTTCAGGTTAGAAATGTACTAGTGTAGTATCATCTCAAGAGCACATGTATTGGACAAATTTACAAATCCAACAATTTTCTATGTAGTTATACTATATTAACATACATGGTCTAATACATGTGTACAGTTCTTAAATTATAGGTTCAATTTAATAATTAATAATATCAACTATTAACATTTTTAATGAAATGTTGGAACAATAAAATATTAAATATTTGTTTAAATAATAATATAAAAATAATTATCTGATTAATTATAATATTACACATTAATTGTCATCAGTGCTTATAATTTGGTGGGTAAAATAAATCAAGTACTATCTGAATTACCCGGCTTGGGTCTCATCTACACGACGGACAAAAAGTATAGGTTGCAGGTAGCTGGAAACCCGCAGGCCGCCATGAGCCCGTTCCGTGCAGCATAATACGTATTGCCGATGAATAATTATAATTGGTAATTACTCCACTAAAACGCAACATTTTTGAAAATCCTTTCTTAGAGCACGGTGAAAATATGAGAAGAACCTCTATTCCAAATTTCAAGTTTGTACTTGCATAGTTTTTGAGTTACAGCGATCAGTGACTAAGTAGTATTTGGATTTTATATGTATAGATCATACTAATTTATTGTATTATCATTATCAATTTATAGTTTATACGTAGTAATTAATTTCAGTTAAGTAATTCTTAGTGAACCTAAAAACTCACATTTGTACTAGTATAGTATTTCAATTTTGTCTTTAAATAGTTTATTATCAATTTGTAAGTGCACAATGGATGATCTGTTGTTTTGCTGAGCAATTGTTTAAATGGAACATGTTACATGTAAATATGTAATGTTTGTACAATTAACTCAAGGTTAACAAGTTGAGTGACATGCATGTAACTATGGTTCATGTAAAAGTTTACATATAAATAAGGATGATGAGTTAGAAACAGTATACCGTAGTATACATATCATTCATATTATATTTTAATAGAATTATGGAAAATAAAAAATAGTCTTCAAACTTTTACTGCCTGAGTCTGACTAATTAAAACTTAGTTACCACGGAGTATCAAAAATGGATGCTTTCTGTATACATGCTATATACGGATAGTAATAAATTCTCCAATAATCAATTGTAGAATGTAGAAATTACAGTTTGTATTTTATTCAATAAATAAATACATTAATATTGTAATATTAATTTGGACTCAGGTCAATATAAACATACAATTATGACAATCAAATAAAAAAAAGAGGCATAGATTAATGATTTGCAATGTCACATTAGGTATATGGTACTATTACTGTAATGGTAATTATTAGTTAAAAATATTGAACTCACTTGACGCTGAGCGTATTGATGGATCCTGTGATGACCATTCCAATGGCCAACACCAGTTGATACGAAGAGTACATGATTGTAGCAGTGGATGTGGATTACACTCGTTAAAACAGTGATCGTCCAACAGACGAATTGATTTGAGCTTACCTAAGACACAAAGAGAAAAATTAATAAATGAAACACAATTCGAGACACTTCTATATCAGTCCATTGTTATGTGCGTCGAGATAAAAAATGTCACGTTTTGCGCACAATATTTTTTGTTATCTACCGACCAAAAAAGCACGTCCGAATAAAATAATGGAATATCATAATCCCTATAAATAATTCTATCGATCAATTGTGTGTACGTACGGTGCGTGTGTGTGTGTGTGGAAATCCGCAGGAAAGCTCGCCCGTCGCAGGACGATCTGTAAATGTACTTACTCGTCAATACTCGAAAACAACTACAGAGCGCTGACTGTAGAGAGGAAGCAGTAGCCAGTACATTCAGTACCGCGCGGTGGTGCGGGTCAACTGTTTTTTATCGTTTGTTTGTTATTATTTAATAGTTATTATTGTCAAGAGTAGACAATAGGTTTTATAAATCGGTCGTCTTTGTCGTCGTTGGTAAGCGAATCAACGATAGTGGGCAATAGCCAATAACGAAATCAGTAATCGCTGATCACGCAAACCAAGCGGGAGAGGATTAAAAAACTTAAAAGTAAAACATTAAACAGTCAACAGAGACAGACTGTTATCACTTATCAGCTGTTGTTGTATTGTAATTTGTAATATACATCATAATATTATAACATTTTATTGTAATTGTCAAGGTGGATTTATATAATATATTATTATCATTCCACCTTGGTAAAATGGTAAATAATAATAATTTTATCCACGATCCGCATGATCTATAATTGGTATTATTACGTAAAAATATTTAGGTTCAAGGTCGCGGGGATAATCCGGTAATGACAATGCGTTGTTACTTGTTACCTATAAGCTAGAGTTTATAGTTTACACCATAATTACTATATTATACCATTTATACCTACTAGGTATTGTCTATTATTTGTATTTTTTTAAGTTCCGTGTTCTACATTAAGCGCTAATATTTCTAATTTTTGGGGTGGCTCTATATTTCAAGTAATAATAATATTGATTAAAACCTTACGTACCCCAGCGACCCAGCTACATCGTTGTACCCGCCTTCCAAGTCCTAATTACGAATCGCGAAAAAAAAAACCCATGGAAAAAAATTTAAATATAAATGTGAACTCCTGTATGCATAACACGTTGTATTTTAAGTTATAATTTATAATTATAAATTGTTTTATATTGAGTCATTAGGTAGTTAATAATACATGGAATCCATAATCAAATAACATCAGCCTCAGCCCTTAGTTTTATCACAGAACAATGGTTTTATACTACATTATTTCAAAAATTACACAACTATAAAAATAATTATATAATAAGCAGGGGCGCTATTTCAGTTTTAAAATAGGGCTGCCATATTTTTTACCACGCCACATTTTTCTACCACCTGGCCACAGTGATAACAATGAAAATTGAAATACTACATATTCAATAAGCTGTTATGTAATCTATAAGCCCAATTCTAACATTTAATAATAGCACCTTAATTAAAAAAATGATTAATACCATGAATTAAAGACACACTTCGGCATCGGCGCCAACATGAAATTGAGGCAGGCCAATTATGGTCCGGGGAAAAATAGGGCCGCCAATGTATACCCTGCGATACCCCAAATGGTGCCCCTGATAATAAGTCAATACCCGGTGGTATATAGTACCTATAATATTAGTTCGTTGCTCTAGTTTAATACAAGCCTTGGTATTACAAGGGAAATGGATACACCAAATGGACCAACTATTTTCGTTCTTCTTTTTATTGATTTTAGTAACATCGGCTTATAGGTCATATTACTCATCATTATTTGTTATCTATGTTATGTACGATATACCAAATATAATATAATATGACAATACGGGACAGTATATGATAAGAAACACGACATAAGTATGCCCCCCAAAATCGTAGTGGTTGCCTATAAATATTTCAAACATATTTGAATTAAATTACTTATTAAAAATCTAAATCACTATCTCAAAAGAAACGTATTCCCAAGAACATCAAACAATAAGTAAATTGTAAAGTATAATTTAGTATAAAATGGTCAATAAGGTTACGGTAACGGCAAGGACGCCCATATGGGGGGCAAGGGAGGGACATGTCCCCCCCTGGAAAATGTCGAAAATCTTGAAAAATTGTTAACTGTGATCAAAATCTATTTATTTAAATAGAATTAAAAAATTTAATTTAATTTATTATGAATATTTGTAATCTGTTTAATATAATTAATGTTTTAAGTGTCCAATTTATATTATTAATTAAATAAAAATTTCAATAAATTAATTTTATGGTTAATATAAATAATAATTATTTTCTAATCTTCCAGTTTTATGTATATATATAATGTAAACCCTTTCCTACCTCGTGGTCATTACTTTTTATAAATAGATTGAAAAATTAAAATGTTCTCCCCCCCCCTTGAGAATTTTACTATGGGCGCCCTTGGGTAACGAATTTTTCGGTACGAATACGAATGTACCATACGTCCATACCCATTACATACGATTTATTCAATTACGATAAACTTTACGATAGGTTTAATACAGCGATAGTCCTATAACAGCTATCGCTTCTCGAGAATTAACAAAAATTAGAAAAGAAATAATATTTTGCCCATCTATAAATAGAAGAATATAGAACGGTATAATATGTTATTCAATATTGATGGCCAAAGGGTACAAAATATGTACAATATTACTAATATTAGGTATAGAAACACAATATAATATTATTGTGAATTGTGACTTAATTGTTCGGTATGTTACCGTAAATAATAAATGGGTTTTTTTTTTAAAATTTTTTTATTAAAATAAAGTTTTACTGACATATGTCATCTTAACTTAATGTTGATTAGATACATTTTTTTTTTAACATTTGGAAAAAAAATATAACAATTAGTAATAATTAGAAAAATTATTAGTAAAAATAGAAACTATCAATAGATAGAAAACGTAATAATTTAAACGTAATAACGTTTTAAAGTATTTACAAATCGGAAAAAAAAAAACAAAAATAATAATATAATAATAAATAATAGTTATAACAACAGGTCGTGTGGGCGTCCACGCTTGAGTCGGCGTACAGAAGGTGGGTCACTTAGTTTATAAAATTTCGCACTGTGAGCAGAATTGATGTGATCGAAGAAGTTGATTGTTAATTTTTTTATGTACTCTGTTATAGTGGGTAGCTGAAAATCTTTGTGAAGTGCATCATTTCGTACAAACCATGGAGCATTAGAAATGGTTCTCAGAACTTTTGATTGGAAAACTTGTATTTTGTGGATGTGGGTTTTTGCACAATTTCCCCACACTGGGAGGCGTATAGAAGTAATGGTCGTAGAATTTGTTTATATAATAAAAGAGAACACCTCCAGCTTAATGCAGTTTGTCGGTAATTAATGGGTAAATACTAAATAGTATGTATGTAATGCACTAGGTACACTTATATAATTGTGGATATAAGAATATAAAATAATGAAAAAAATTCTGCAAACCGTACAAAATTACAGTATTGTTTGTTTAATATTTCTAGGGGGCTTCAACTTCAAATTATTTATTTTAGGGAGGCTAAGCCCCCTCCCCGATCTACGCCTTACGCCTATGTATGTGAGCATATTACATAGTAAATAGTAATTCTGTCAAGTCAATCATAATATATCTGCATATACATTTGTTGAAATGTTCATAGTCTCATAGATGCATGTGTGATAAATTGTGACTTAAACAATGTACAAAATAAAGCACTCACCAAAATCAGTACCTATAATAGTGTTTGAATACATCGAATGAACTTTTAACGTTGTAGGTAATGAAAATATGAAATGCCCAGACTCCAGACAAAATTTTATTAAAATTAAAAAAATACCACGACTTGCAAACTACCGAATTCAAGTAGGTACAATGTAAAAACCATTTTAATAGAAATGTAGTGTGAAGAATTTTGTTTTGTGAACAAAATACCAGAATCGAAAAATCATAAAACACGGCAAGTAAATATAGACTATAAGTGAGGTTACCAGTTACCACTTACCATAATGTGAAGGCTATAACGGGTGCTTATCACAATTTAGTTTTCATTTTAACCAATAAGAGCGCTATAATATGCAGAAACAGTCACGGAACACATGACTTTTTGATTTAAATCGAATGCCGTGTGATAACATTTGTCTAATAGGTCGTTGGGAACCACAGTATCTCTAATTGTAAATGAGACTTAATATATATTTTAAAAACTACAATCTGATTTCAAAAGGAGTTCAAAAGATAAAAGTACAAAATACAAATTTATATTTGGTATAACTCACCAATTATAGGTGTATATAATATTTATTTTTTCTTGTGAATGTATTACTATAATGATTTTAAAAAAAATCAATGTTGCTTATCGTTACTCCAAATTAATTTCGAAACACAAAAGTATCGTATTATTACACTCAACAAATATTGTGAATAGTTGTGGTACAACTATTAAAAAAAAAAACGAATACAAATTTAATGGACCTAGTTTAAAAGACTTCATTGCCAAAGATTTACCTCAAGAACAAATTGAGATTGTAAGTAATGAAGATAAAATTCCATATTTGGATGACATGGTTGATTTTGGACAACATAGAAAAGGTAAATAACTAAAAATGACTATTTTTGTTTGAAATTCAAAATGTTATAATGAGTTTATATTTTATTATTAAATTTTCATGATTTGTTTTTAAGTATATATTGAAGTATATGGTTGTCAAATGAATGTTAATGATGCTGAAATTGTCTGGTCTATATTACAAAATGAAGGTTACATTAAAACAAATAGTATTTATGAAGCAGATGTAGTTTTACTTGTAACATGTGCTATTCGTGATGGTGCTGAAAATAAAATATGGACACGTATTAAACAATTGCGGTCAGTAAAACGTTGGAGAGGTAAATTGGATCCATTAAAAATTGGAATTTTAGGTAAAACTTAATTGTATTAAAAAAATTAATTTCTCACCACTTATGTTCATAGAACTACAATCACTTTCATTCCTGTTGTAGGTTGTATGGCAGAACGTTTAAAAGAAAAATTGGTCAGTGATACAAAGGGAGCTGTAGATCTTGTAGCTGGTCCTGATAGTTACCGGGACTTGCCAAGACTTTTAGCTAAAACTGAAGCCGGACAAAAAGCAGTTAATGTTTTACTATCATTTGACGAAACTTATGCTGAAATAAAACCTGTTAAGTTAAATGATGACAATGTTACTGCATATGTGTAAGTTAATGTTTTTCTTTAACCAAAATATTATTTCCATTTACCTATGTACTTAAATAAGTGTTTAATTATGAGGAATAAATTCACCCGTGTACTAAAGAATTATATCTACCATAAAGTGCAGCACAATATTGTCCAAATAAATGTGATACCTAAAAATTATTTTTTTAATGGTTGATAATTTCCATGCAAATATTATTTTCTCTTACTTATTAGTTATTACTATATAACTATTAGCTAATATATTAAAAAAAATATATTTCCAGATCTATAATGCGAGGCTGTGATAACATGTGCACTTACTGCATTGTTCCTTTTACCAGAGGTCGTGAACGCTCTAGGCCTGTTGAATCCATATTAGATGAAATCAAATATTTATCAGAAAAAGGCTTCAAGGAAGTAACTTTATTGGGTAATTGTTAATTAATTTTTGTTTGAATATACCATCATAGTAATTATTATCCATTTATAATAGGTCAAAATGTAAATAGCTATCGTGATTTGAGTACTTCTTCATATTTTATGCCTTCAACTAATACATTAGCATCAGGATTCAAAACTGTTTATAAAGAAAAGAAAGGTGGTGTTCGATTTGCTGAATTACTAAATAGAGTATCTGATGTTGATCCGGAAATGCGGATAAGATTTACTTCACCACATCCAAAAGATTTTCCTGATGAAGTTAATACTTTATTTAATTATTAGTGTCTAATGAATCAGTTCATGTTTTATTTTTATCATCCAGGTTTTGGATATTATTTTGGAGAAACCTAATGTGTGCAAAAATTTACATTTACCAGCTCAATGTGGAAATACAAAAGTTTTGGAGAAAATGAGAAGAGGTTACACACGTGAATCATATTTAAACTTGGCTCAACATATAAGAGATCGATTACCCGGTGTAACATATTCTAGTGATTTCATAGCAGGTTTTTGTGGTGAAACTGATGAAGAATTTGAAGATACTATTAGCTTGATGGAAACTGTAAAATATCATAATGCTTTCTTATTTGCATACAGTATGAGAGAAGTATGATGAATATCTATATGTAATTATAATAATTATGCTATAATTTAGTATATTTTATATGTTTGGCTAAATTTCTAAAAAATTTCAATGAGCAAAAATTTACCAAAAAAACCTTTGAATAACTTCATACCAAAATATTTTGTACTTCAAAGTTATCTTTTAAATATCTAACTTAATATTATTTTATAAACTATATAAATAGTTAATAGTTTTATAATTTTGAATCTCCAATATATATTTATAGTAAATGAAATACTGTGCATTAGTTTCCTTCTTATTTATTGTTACACGAATAATGGTTTCAAAGATAATGTGAATATAGATAGACATTACAGTAACTCATAATTCCATAGGGAAATATTATAGTTAATTCATGACTATATTTTAGTTTGGTACCATATTATATATTAATATATATGTGTATAAGAACAATTTAAAGGTATAATTATTTAAATTGTATTATGTATTCCAGAAAACAACAGCATATCGTCGTTATCAAGATGATGTTCCACATGAAATTAAAGTAGAAAGAGTAAAAAAGATGTTCAGTGTATTTAGAAGAGATGCAGCAATTTTAAACAAACAATTTGTTAATACTGAACAGCTCATGTTGGTTGAAGGTGTAAGTTAATTTTGTTGTGATTATAATTATTATCATTAGACCAAATTAGTCTTAAATTTTATGGTTCTTAATTTATGAAACTTAATATAGTAAATACAGATTACATATATTTAAAAACTTACTCTAATTCAACTTATTCTAGTTTAAAACTGTCATTGGTTTTCCTGTATTTATCTAGTTTAGGTTAGATTGGACTTAAAGATTGAAGAAAATTATTTATTATACATAAAAGTTTAAAGCAGAGGTATTAAAACTTTTTCATCCCACGGCTCCTTTAAGCCTTCACAAAATGTTGACGGCTCAAAAATTATAAACGACAAAAAAAACAATGTTTATATGAATGTAATTTATATTTTATAATTTATACTTATTATTTATTTACCATATTATACATGTATAAAAAAAATTACCCTAATTTGGCGAATGATTGTTGTAGACAATTCAACGTTTCCCAACTGGTGTGCCACAATGATAATAGCAAACATTTGTTGTAAAAATATTTATTGGTTTTCAATTATACTACACGGCCCCCTTCGACAACTCCCGCGACGCACAGTTTGAATACCTCTGGTTTAAAGTATTTCTAATAAGTAAGAACTTATAAACAATTATCACACTCATAAATATGTTAAATTTAGGAAAGTCGTAGAGGCCCATCTGATCTATGCGGACGGACTGATGGAAACATAAAAGTAATTATTCCAAACTCTAAATTATCACATGAAGGATCATCGTTAAATCAAGATATTAAACCTGGCGATTATATTATAGTAAAGGTTGGTACTTAATATTATATTTATAATTACTATGTATAGCAATAATAAGTAAAGTAAATTATTAAAATAATTTTATTGAGATTAAATTTTATTTTTAGATAATTGAATCAAACTCTCAAATATTAAAAGGTATGCCTCTGAAACATACAGGTCTCCAAGAATATGAAAAAAATAAAAAAATACCAAAATTTATTAAGGAACAAATATGTTAAGTACAATTTTTAAATGTATTATATTGATTATTGATTGATGTACGAATAAATATTTCATTGTTATTTGAGCTTTAATGTATAATATATATTAGTATATATAACAAATATATACTTAATTGTTTTAGTACCTTTTTTTTTTCATGTTTGAACCGACGGCGTCACGGGTACTGCTTTCGCATTACTTCCGCGACGCCGCCGATTGTTTTAGTACCTACAACTAATATCAACAACTAAGCAGTGTATTATTGATATAATATACCAGGTATCACTAATTAATATTTTCTGAGTGGCACAATAGGAATTTTGAATGTTTACAGGGGCTTCAAAAATTGTATGTACCAGCTTATTCAAAGAAAGTAAATCAAAAAATTAAATTAAAATTTGAGAAAATCTCATTTAATTCACTATTAAGAAATTAATTTAAAAAATAAATGTTATGTCTGTTTGCCGGATAAAGTTTATGCCATTTGGTGACCTTTTTAATAGGTACTTTGTAGTTATATTTATTGAATTTAGGTAATAGTGTTGGTTAGGTAGTAGCACATCTAATTAGAATTTTGAATTTGCTTAAAATTATATATAATTATATACTAACTAGGAATATGTATATGAATGACAAATTCAAGACAAATTGGCCCTTGACTCAGGGTCAGGGGCTTAACTTACGGTTAGTTACAAAATGACAGGAATCAGGAGGGTCATCCGTCACCCCTCCCTGTCGTGTTCTAATGTGTATCAAACTTTATTTACCTATTGGTATTAATTTTATATAATTATTGTACACATATTTTATATGGTACTATTGTAAGTAGGTGCATAAATCATTTCCGATAATTTTGAGTTACGTGCACTGCGATTTTCACCACGCGACAACGCGAGTCTTCTATGGCATATAATCCATAAATTATAATTTTCATATTGAATAAGGAATTTTCGAATTTTCACCATCATTATATCACTTAACAATTAACATATTATTACATTCACACACGATTATTAAACACACAAGACTATTTATTATTCTATTTTGTTTTATTTAGTGTTCTGTGTTAAAAAAAGTGTATTTATAACCAACGTCTCGCACAAATATTTATTAAACTACCTATTTTTTGTGCTCCTGAACAGGTATACCTATATAATCTGATCAAGATATACTATAGTATCGAGGAAATATTGAGTTAAAGGTTGGTAATTTAAGTTATATTAAGTAAAGAATTAGTGGCGGCCAAACAGAGGGGAGTGATGAGGGGATTTATCCTATAATAAAATCTAAACCAGTACTTAGTTATAATTTATGTATCTATTATGTTTTGTATAGGTACTATTGTACTAAGAACAATAGGTCCATGATAATAGGCTCAGAAGATATGGGGGCTATGGTGGTTTGAAAATGTTCTGGTCCATCAACTTTATTAATTTGTAAAAATGGGCTATATGACAAGAACGCCATATTGACAAGCCTGAGTAAGTTAATGTTGATTTTTAATTGAGTTAAGTTAAGTTCATTGAGAACATTTTAAAGAGTTTAAAGTTAGTAGTAATTCTAATTTTTTTTAACTCGGTTAAGTTAAAAGTGTATGGATATTTACAATTAACTTAGGTACTTTTCCTTTGAAAGGTCTTGTAATCGTATGGCACGGTGGTTGTCGACGAATCCTTGCCACATATTAAACACGCGTTTCAACCGTATCGCTGCATAGTCCATATATACAGATTACAGACCGTGTTGCTGAAGCTCACAAAAAAAAAAAAATAATAAAAAAAAATGCACGTATCTGAAATTCGTTCTATGTCATGTGTTTTTGTCGTAGGAAAATATGTCTCCCATTAAGAAGAAAGTGGTGATCGTCGGTGATGGTGAGAGCGGTAAGACATGCCTCTTGCGAGTGTTTTTGGAGGATATTTTTCCAGATGTATACGTGCCAACGGTGTTTGACTTCTATACAACCGAGATCGAAGTTGATGGGAAAAAGGTAGCGCTCGAACTGTGTGACACTGCTGGCCAAGAGGATTACGACAGGCTGCGACCACTGTCATACAGGACCGCGAATGTAGTGATCATATGCTATTCTATCGATACTCCCAAATCATTGATCAACGTGATTGATAAATGGGTGCCAGAAGTGCGGTTTTTTTGCAAGGAAGTTCCGGTGATATTGGTTGGAAATAAGAAGGACCTCCGCGATAACCATCTGCTGCAGGATATTGATCTACCGAAGTCTGGCCAGGACAAATGCAACTCCACCGAAGTCCCTGTTGGACAAACTATTACTGAAAACGACAAGGTGACATGTATTGATCTGCAGGGTAAGATCGATTGGTGCAGGTTTTTGACACACGAGAAATCCACACTGGAATCTGACAGGAAACCACATAAAACGGTCGAAGGGCTGCCTGCAGTACAGGCGAAATCGGATGGCTACAGTGACTTGATAGTAGCAATAAGACGAGAAGAATTCGACGTATCGGAAATTGGTCAAAAAAATACAAACAGATTAGAACCAGAAACATCTATACCCACCGCAGAAAACCACAATGTGGATACACCGAGAAAAACTACCATTCGGATACCAGAATATAATGTCATGATTACCAAAGAGATTGGCCAATCAGTGGCGGAAGATATAAAAGCTTTCGCGTTTTTAGAATGTTCTTCGAAGACCAAGGAAGGAGTCCGTGATGTTTTCGTTGCCACAGTGAAGGCAACGAAACGGACTTCCAAACATAGTACGCAGTGCATTTTACTTTAAACACAAAATAAATAATATATTTTTTAATTTATACGTTGGTGCCTATATTATATAGGTACGTATAGATACACAAATTCATATACCTATATGTTATAGATTTGTCTTATATCTACATTTATATTAATACAGTTTGTGGGTAATGGGAGGGGTATACCGATATTATAATATATTATTATCATAGGCAGAACTATGGGGTGTGCCAGATATGTTTCAGCACACCCTGAATCACCATCAAAATATTTTTCAAATCTGTAAACAATTATTGTTATTCTACTAAATTATTAATTTCAAGTAAAGCAATATTAAAAAATAAAAATTGCTTACAGTTGTTACGTGTGTGTTTACTTAAACTTTTTACATAATATATTTTGTTTTTACTATACACAATGACATTTTTAAAATATGATTCATTTTAAGGTATTATTTATTTACACTACGAAACTAATAACTATTCTCACCGTTCTATTTGATAAGTTATTATTAGTATTATTGACTTAAAGTTAATAGCAGTACCCACCTAATATATGATATAAATATATACTACCTAATATAATAGGTATGTTCTGCTTTGTTCACATGATTGGAATAAAGAGATTAATATTTCTATAAGGAATCCGGGGAAGATATTATAACAAACGATTGCTAATCGGCGATTAGTCTATTAAAACCGCTATATACCTATATCAATCATTTTTGGTACAGTAATTTACTCAAGATTGTAGATAATTTGTTAGGTAAACGTTTATTACATTTTCAAGCTTTTTAAACCAACAAGTAGTGACCACGCCGGAAATGGATATCTCCTTCAGTCAGTCAGGATGATGTGAAAATTAAAATGTTCATAAATTTATGACTAGGTACAAAATAATAAATTTACAAATTTTTGTGATTTTGAAAATAGTACACATATGTATGGAAAATATTATGAATTATGATAGATCCCATTGCAGGGTTATATCTAGGGCAGTAAAGTTGTTGCATTTGCATGTTTTTTTTAAATGGTTATATTTATTGCTGAGTGCGCTTAAAATAGGTTTTGTTAAACTCTTAATTTAAACAAAAAAAAATTATATTGCAATAAATGCAATTTTGGCGATTTTTTAAATTTTACTGCAATTTTAACTATTTTTCATAATTTTCGTTTACATTTAAGATTATATAACTTAAAATAAAAGTAACTAAACGTAGCAGTGAACAAATTTCTATATTTGTTGTAATACCTACTTATTATTTCTATAGAGCGATTATAGCAAAACTTGTCCCTCAATAACATAATATATTATCGTCTATCACTGTCAGACAAGTTTCGTGGCATATACTGTCGTTTGTTATACTTTGTCGCGTCTATTTCATCCGTTAAAATGCCAAAAGTCAAACCGATTAAATCAGCCATTTAAAAAAATTATGTATCAGAATTTGGTGACGCTATATTTTCTTCTGATGACAGTATTCTCTTTTGTAAAATGTTTGAAGTGCAAGTATGTGCCGATAGACGTAAGCAATATTAATATTTAATTTGTATTATTACTATGTATTAATATATTTAATTTTATTAATTATAATTTAATTTTTTTTAATTTTTTCAATGCAATTTTTAAATTTATAAGTGCAATTTTTAATATATTTTAATGCAATAATGCAATCAATTTAGTGTGTTTTTTAATGCAATAACTTCACTGCCCTAGTTATATCCATAAACCGATCATAGTAGACATAGAGTTTGATAAAGCAGTGTTTACTATGATAACATTATATAGAGGTATTTTTAAAGTATATATTTTGGTAATACACAATTGAGTAATTTTAAACTTTAAGTTCACATACAGTAGTAGTTTTTACAGTTTTTTATTTTCATTGTGTACACAACATACAGAGTAAGTACACAGAAAAAATGAATGAAGATTAGCATAAGGCAGTAGGTAGTAATATTAAATTCAAAACTCAAATACAATAAAAAAAATAATATTACAAAAATAGCATAATTTGGTACATACAAAATCATATTGTTATATATCACTTAATTTTAATTTACCTTCATTTATTGTTAAAAAAGATATATCGGCTAAAGTTTGTTCACATATGGCTTCACCAGCCCTCTCCCATACCTGAAAATTTTTTATTATTACATAGTTGTTTTTTAGTAATTTAAAATGAATAATGGTTTACTGTATACATACCCCTTTATATTTGAAATTATCTGTTTGAGGTGGTGGGTATTTGAAATTGGGCCCAAAGTTTAAAGATAGAGTACAATTTTTATACAAAGATACTGTAGGAAAATATTTTCCATCATATAAATCGACAGCACTTTCATTAAAACATTCTCCATTTTTATAATAAATTATTTTACTCCCAATTAGTGGTTTTAAGCATTTCAGTGCATCACGACTGCTATCTTGAGACTGTTCTTCATAGTATAAATGGCTTTTGAATTTTATCAATATCTAAAAGAGCATATGAAATAACATATTTAAGTATTACTTGGGAAGGCATTATTAAAGATAGTAAATATTTATAAATAATGTGAAGTACCAAATCTTTATGAGTTGGTGGAAGAGATATCATGTTGGTAGGTAGACATATCATAATGCCTAATGTATCGCCTTCACCAAATCCGCTACTATAATGTTTTCCACGACTCTCGTGAAACACTGTACCTTTTCTTTAAAAATTAATCAAAAATATTTTAAAACCATTATATTTTGATAACTTTTTTGGTTTTTATCATGTTTATTACCTAGATCTCCACGAATAGCCAAATTTATCATATCCTAATGGTGCTTGAACATTTGCAAATTCTTGGCTCCATCCAATACGACAAGCCGAATTATCGGGCATTTCTTCAACTGTTGTCTCCCAATACCAATTTCCACTGGTAACACCTTACAATTAACAATAAATAAATAATTACTTATGTAAGGAAAATAATATACGGTAATCCTTCGTTATCTGCGGAGGTTACGTTCCAGCAAAGTTGCACGGATAACGAGGAATTACTGTACAATCATAACTTACTATGCGTAGCTCGTGCCATACAGTACCCTTTCTCTCCAGTTACTGACAACCTGTCTTCAGAAATATGTAGCTGTGGTGCACGATCATGTAATGCCAACAGTACTTGGTTTGGACAAAGCGGCCTATATAACCACCCCGGAATCAATTTTCCAGCAGACTCATTAGACTCATCAAACTCTTGTCGAAATGGAGCATGAGGATCTGGTTCAGCTAATATATATTTATAACCATCTTTGTTGAACGGATGTTCAAGTGGATACCCATGAGCAGGTAATTTTACATTTGACTGATCACCAGCACTTCTACCTTTCTTGCCACTACCTATTCCACTTGTTCCGTCACCAAATGTTTTTCTCTTAGCACCTCGTCCCTTGAGACCAGTTGTGATTGCTAGAAAAGTAATAAAAACGATAATATGTTATAAATTATAATTTTAATTAATTAATCAATTATTTAATGATATTGAAAAAAACAAATTTAATATTTTACACAACATCAATAAAATAAGTATAACCTAAAACAAAAGTATACAATTCAAAAGATAATAATCTAGTAAAAGTGAACATGTTTGTATTATTAACTAAAACCTGTTACATAAGAATAATAAGGTTTATATTACGGTCAACTAATAATAACTGTTGGACATTTGGCATGGTATTGTTTGTTCTTTTATTAAATAAATATTTAGTGGAAGTTTCTTCTACAATTATGTTTAAGGTTCATTACCAGGTAAGTTGCATTGGCTATATTAGAAATTCTATGGGTTTTGATAGAAATTGGTTTGTAAGTGCAAAAATCTTTAGTCACTAGTATATTCTACATAATATACTTGACGTGTATAAATATGGAAAATGTATGATTGGGATATGTACATTGCACATTGGCAGTTTTGTAATACTAAAAAAAATGTTTAAAGAAACATTTGTGCTTTAAATTGAAAATAGTGCATAGTCAATTTATTTCAGAGGTTCAGTTATTTTGTAAATAAGGCAGTACCTTACAGTGGTGCTCAGCATTTGTAGTGAAAAAGAGATGTTTTTACATGTACCTTTATTTATTATCTATTATTATTTTAAAACATCATATAGATTATCAGATTATATGTAGTAAATCAATATGTTTAATGATATAGAATAGGAGGTTAAAAAACAAAGAGCAAATATAGTTTGTCACAAGATCTGTTTGGTTAAGAATTCTTTCAAATTAGTGTTCATTGGATTTTAATTAAAATTAAAAGATATAATGAATTTGCATGCTGTTTTTTTGCAATATACATATAGTAACGGCAAAGAAATTTGTACACTATACAGCTCTAGCGTTAATAGGAGATATTTTTATATATAAATGCAGAGGCATAAATTTAATTTTCATAAAACTTATTAATATTTTGTACACCTATTGCATTTTTTAAAAGTATTCATAAAAATTAGATTTAAATTTAACTATTTATAATTTGTGTACATAAATTATAAATCAATCCCAACTTACTAGGTTGAATTCCAGTTTCTGTAACTTTAAGATGGCCCCCTTTTATCATTGCTTCATAATTTGGTTTGATTTGAGAAATATCAAATAATAGCTTATAAGACTGGGAACCATTTTCACCATTTATTACACTGAACAAAACGTCTGTTTCTTTGACTAATGATCTTGTAATCTAAAATAAATTTTAAGAAAACATAATTATAATTTATAAGTTTATACCTATAATGTAAATATATAATAGACAAGGATACATTTTTTATTGTATCAATTACATAGTACATACTGTTGAATGCCAGGATTGTGTGACTCTTCTTGCAGTTGTAGTCATACTCTCCCAATGTGATTCAATAAAAGGAATAATATCTTTATCCCTTGAGAAATAAACTTGAGGGTTTCCACTTTTAATAGTTTCCTGCATCAAATTTCCAATTGCAGTCACACACATTTGTGGAAACACTAAAATATTTGAAATTAATTTAATAAAGAAAATATTTGTTAAAAAAAAAACTTACTTGCAGGATTTTTTTTGAAACTCTCAAGACCAGTGGGTGAACAGTTTTTACAGACAAATATATAATTTAACATAAACGGAACCAATTTTCCTAGTTGATATCCAATACAGGATTCATGATACCAACGATTACAGTTGGCACATAATAGTTCAATGATATTGTAATTTCTTTCTTTATTGCTAAAATAATACAATATTCTTTGTACTAATATACATATAATTAAAAATTGAATTGACACAGTGATTAAATTACAAACAATAATTTAACAGTTTTAAGCATTCAGTTGTCTAGCTTGTAAATCTATACATTATTCTAATTTTACTAGAGGCGTGGCGAAGGGAGACATCGAGAGGCAGCTACTCTGAGAGTCTTCTAAGGGGTTGTGGTCGGTAATGGCCTATTAATTATAATATTTTAATAATAACTATGACAGGAACTCGTACTTATAAATGTAACATTAAATGCTTTTATTGGATTGTAGCTACATGGTGCATGAAATATTATTTGACTAGTCTCTGAAAAGTTTTAAGCTTGCCAAGCCACTGAATTATACTATCTATACCTAAATATATTTTTAATTTGAAATGAGTATTTACCAATCATTAGAATATTATAACCACAAATAATAGATATGTACAATATCTATGATTATAATAATTAAATTTGATCAATTAATTGTTAGGTAACACATGACATAAACAACCTACATTTAAATGATATTTTTTAAAAAAAATGTTACTAAAAAAAAGAAATGTCATAAAATAATTATACATAAAAAACGATTGCAGTTTGAATCAATAAATTTCTTAGTTCAATGAATTCACATTTACAAACTAATAAACTTACCAATAACAGTTGACGGTTTGAATGCTATTTTCTGGAATTTTATTTGTAACCGGTGCAGATTTAGTGGAATTATCTTTGAAATTTTCTTTGGGCACATCGTTACCGTTAGTTGAGACCATTTCAGTTTGAATGGATTCAGTAGGAGTTTTTATATCAGTATTATCATCCATTTTAATCACAGTTTACTCATTTACCTATAAAAATTAAAAAATTCATACATTATATTATTATTGATAACTATAATAATCAATCAATGACCATTGTTATTTGTGGTAATTAAAAAAATTAAAATATCCTTTTATATTAACCCCAAAAAACCTAAAAATAAGCACTTAAAAAAAAAAATTAAATAAATTTCATATAGGTATGTGACATTTAATAATAACAATTTAAGTTTCAGGAAAAAACAAGTAAAATATTATAATTTTGTACATGAACATAAAAATAATAATAATATATTGGATGCAAAAAACTACCTATGAGTAACTATGTGATGTTTTTTAATAAACTAACTAATGAATACATGTTTTAGATCGTCGATCACTGATCAATTTGAAGTGCAATAGTTTTCTGACCTACACAATGTAATTACTTATTATCCATGAATCTATAATCATGAATTGTGAATAATGGTGGTAATTGTTAAGAATCTCTAAAATTTGCAATTAAATATTTTGTACTTTGAGACGTAATTGTAAGCATAGGTACCTCCGCTAAGTTTAACTACACCTATGATGGATATGCAGATGCCATAAGTCCCAAACCCTGGTTGTAAGTAATAACTAATAACCATCAATTGCTGCAGAGAAATACTTTTATTAACGTAATACGTAAATGACTATCCATTTACACGTAGAAAAACAAAAATTTTAATATTAAGTCAAATTATAATAATAGAGTTCTTATGTATCTATTTGAAAATATATTAAGTATTTATTTATTTAAACAACTCAGAAAACGATAACTAGATACAGCACTTAACAGAAATACTCACCTTAGTAGGTAAGTTTATAAATTATTGAATTTATATTTTCAAAGTTTTGGTCTTATATTATGAAACGATATAGGTAGGTACTGACATATTGTAATTTGTATTTAATATTTTGATTTCAATTACTTACTAAAATTTATCACTTGCAAATTAGAGTATCAACAGACAATAATAATTGTGCATAAACCAATAGATTTGTAACAATACTAAGAAATTATTTGATTGTACTCTTACAATTAAAAACCAAAATAAGATTCAATGCAACGATAAAAGCAAAACACGCATGGAAACTCACTACTCAGTAAAAAAAAATTGTAGTAATTTAACTCTTCTAGTTCAACTCGGGTCTCTATCTAATTTCAATCCGTTAAAACTTCTTAACACGATGCCGATTACCGGTGCCGTCCGGTGGACGGTTGTGGGCTTGTGGCGAGTGAGTGAGTGAGACAGTACGATAGTACGAAAGCACAAACACAAACAACTTCACAGTTGTAGTTAACAACACAATGTCTGTAGTCACTATCACACACGGTTAAAGATATTATACACAGTACACAGATATATAAAACAACAATCAGAATAGATAGTGAGTATCTTTAGTTTACTCTATGGTGAGTCCTGAGTGAGTAGTGATAGATATGTACTTTATGCCAGTTCGCCACATCACCACTACTGCCACTACTCACTGGACACTGACTGTCCAGCTTGAGCAAGGATAATTATTAGATTTGTTATATCATAGAAGTATAGAACAATATAGAAGCGACACTCTGCCTGGTGGTTTAGTGTTGTTGTAAATGATTATGTATTAATGGCTTAATTCTATTATAATTATTATCTATGACCCAGAGAGCCGCGCAGCTATACACCGATCAAAAATTCAAAACACTTCATAGTCCCCCCGCAGCCACGATTGCTACATCATTATTATAAGTAGAAGTGGTCTGACTTTAGTACTGTTCATTTTAAATTTGATGCCCAGCCGAGTTGCGCTCTCTCGGCTAATGGAGGTCCGCCTAAGCTTTAGATATAATAATATGATCCAAGTTCTAAGCTCTAAGCACAGAATAAGCGAAGCTCACAGCCTATGCCTTCAGGAAATAAACTCGAAGTGACCTACTGACGTCTGACGCTTCAATTTGAAAGTGTCATAATTATAACAACTTGATTCATATTTTGTATGTAAATAAAAATAATAACTATGTTTAAAATTCAAAATTCCATCGATATTGCGGTAAATTAAATGTGACAATAGTTACAAAAATAAAAAATGATATAGTGATTATTTAGTGGTCATGTATTTAAGATTGCATATTGTCGTTTGGTACAATTTCATATAATTTAATTGTCTACATGGTCGGAAATTCGTGTTACGACGACGTGGTGATTGCGGATGATAATAAAAATAGAGAAATATAACTGATAAGATTCAATGTTGTGAGTTGTGAGTTGTCTACTTGTGTAGTTGAGTTTTGAGAATAACTAATTAAATTTTAATACTTGGGTAGTTGACAAAATTACAGTTAATATAATTGTTATTTCTGCAATTTAGCTGTCAATCTCCTCAAGTTGTTATTGATATTTTGATTCATATTCCGTGGGCATTCCAGTTGATTATTTTTGAAAATTGTACATTTACCTAACATCAGTCTATACAAAAGATGACAGGTAATGAGTAAAATATATTTTTTTTTTATTTATAAAGTAGTTCTCATTTAGTACAATTATTTTATTTTTACTTTTAGATATAGTGAAACAAGCAGAGTCTTATGAGGCAAATGAATTGTTCGACATCAAAAACTCATACTACATCGGAAACTACCAACAATGTATTAATGATGCTCAGAAAGAACCGGTATTTTGTAATTTATAATCATAATTAGCTTAAGAAGTACAAAATTAATGTTTATTGTTTAGGACATATTCTATTGCTATTAAATGTTTTTTTTCCTTTATAGCCAAACTATGGAAATTTACGTCTACAACGAGACATATTCATGTACCGTGCTTACTTGGCACAAAAAAAATATGGCATTGTACTAGCAGAAATAAAAACTAATTCACCTGCAGAACTAAAACCCTTTAAACTGTTAGCAGAGTATTTGCAAACTCCTGGTAATAGGTAAGATTAGTTAAATGAAAAATGAGATAAAAATTGTACAGAATTTAAAAAAGACACTAGTAGAAGTATTCAATTGTGAGTTAAGTTACACATTTTTTTTTGTGATTTAAAATATTAGTAATAAATAATTTAACACTAGTTATTTTGCTATGTCACGAAGTCGATAAACATTATTTTATTTTATTGGACCATTACTGTATTAAATTAAATGGTAGCCATAAATATTTATAGGATACCATCGTGTATGAAAACAAACTTATTATTTTTGAAATGTTGTCAATTTTTGTCATTAAAAAAAATATAATGAAAACTACCATAATAATTCAAATTCAATTCAAAATATTGAATACTTAATGGGCTGAACAGTGTAGAAATGTCAACAAAAGTTAAGAAAAAAAATCTAGATAGGATTCAGAGTTGGATTTGTTGTTTAGTTCACCTGCCTGGTCATATGATTGATAAGTATTAATAAATATGTATTATAAATTTGAATGTTATATCATTATATTTGAAAAATTATTATGAGAAACTCAGCTTATCAAAAAAAAAGTTTTCTGAATTTTCTAGTCATTTTTAAGGAGTTCTAATGTTTATTGAATAACAGATAGTATAAAAAATATAAATAATATACTAGAGTAACCTTGTGTCAGGTTTTACTTACTACATTTATTTAAAACAATAAATTTAGTTAAACATGATTTTACATGATGTATTTTATTTTTTATGTACTTCAAGGAATTCTATTTTGAAAACATTGGAACAAGAATTGGAAAATATGTATGAAATAAATCATTCTCTTGTTATTGTTGCAACAACAATTTACAATCATGAACATAATTATGAATCTGCTCTAAGAGTCCTTAAAAATGATGACACTCTTGAAGGGTATGTACTTTTAAATGGAAAACACAATTTTTTAGTTACTTATCGGTAAGCATATATTATTTTATTTTAGTGTGACATTGGCTTTGATAATATATTTGAGAATGAATCGAGTAGATTTAGCATCAAAAGAATTTAAAAAGTTAAAAGAAAAGGACGAAGATGCAACATTAACACAAATGGCTCAAGCTTGGTTAAACTTAGCATTGGTAAGAACGTTTAATAATATTGTTTTAAAAAGCAATATTAATCCTAATATATAAATGACAAATTATTGAACTAAAAGATATAAGCTAACAAAAAAACTATCGGTACACTATATTATAAATATTTAAATTGGTAATTAATGTTTTTAATTTACTTCAATAAAATTAATAAAACATAATATTATGTGTTGATGTATAGGGCGGAGACAAATTGCAAGAAGCTTATTACATATTTCAAGAACTAACAGACAAATATGGAGTGACTGCTTTGTTGTTGAATAGTCAGTCAGTATGTTATATTGGTCAATGTGAATATAAAAAAGCTGAGGTTACATTACTAGATGCTTTAGAAAAAGATAGTAATGATATTGATTCTCTAGTAAATTCGTTGTTTATTTCTGTCCATATGAAAGTATCAGCTGATGTAAGTTACTGTTATAGATTTAGATTTACTATTTAGTGAGTAATATTTCTTCTTTGTTGCAGGTTACTAAAAGGCAGTTAAATATGCTGCGAGATGCTTATCCTAATTCTGACTTTATTGAAACATACAATAAAAAAGAAGCTGAATTTGATTCATTGTCCCAAGCATACCAACAATAATTTTCTTTTAAAAAGTTACATTTATAATCTAAATTATATATTATTTTTATTTGCTTCAAAATGTTAAGCTATTTTGTAATTTGAGAAAGTATTATATTCAAAAAATAGATTGAAATATAATTGAATAAATAATTTTTTTTATGGTATTAATTGTTTTACTGCCAAATTGAAAATTAGTTAATGTCTATGGATTACTGTAAATAGGTGATTTATGTTTCTTTAAATTAATTACCTTACTTAGTATGTTGTTTTATAATGGCGAGAGAGTGAAACTCTATTACAGTATTTAAATTGTATTTTTATAATTTACATGAATTATAAATAAAATCCTACCGTCCCATCGTTTAGGTATAACTATTTTTGGTTACTTTTGCAAAAATGATTATAATAATCCTTTTGTTTGCTACATTTACGTGTATTAAAGCAGTCTTGTTTCATCCTTTGCTATTAGATTATCAATAATGTAAAATATATTGTACGTTAGGCAACATATTTTTAAAAATTAATATTGGAAAACATAAATTTTACCAAAAATGCATAGTAGTAGATTTTTTTATGTACACCAGTTTTAATCTGATTAGATTTAATCACACAATTAAAACTAGTTATAAATTTTAATAATAGAGCACTTGTCAATGAGTGATAAAAACATTGTAAGTGTGTGGTTAAGCGCTCTACTGTACAGTAGCCAGTCGGTATCGAGTTTACCTCGTTATCGAGAAAGTTACCTTAATTTACGTGTTAAATATGAATTCAAGGATAAATCATTTCATACGAAAAACAATAATTGTAAACTAAGACGGCTGTTAACATATTTACCTATTAACCAAGTAGGTACCTACCTATAGCCTATATATTATGATAAATTTATAATTTACATTGCTGTTAGGTATATATTATATTATAAGTTTCCAACCTTTTTTGACTCATGACACCTTAAACTATTTTCTAAAAACCCATTGGAATCCTACAGTAGTATATCGTGTATTTATATTTATATTTTATCAACTTCGGTTTTCTTTAGCAAGGTAGGTATGAAGTATAAACACAAAAGCTTCTGTGTAATCTGTGTTATTCTTATTAGTTATTAGTTATTACATTAAACACGCACGTTAGGTATATATTTCATAAAATAATTTTCTTCATAAATTGTAACAAATATTGTGTATGATCGCTAATTACTTAATTAGTATTTTGAAATAATTTCATGGCACCCTTAATTCAAGTTTGTGGCACTCTGGTTTTGAATGACTGACCTATTTAGTAATTCATTTTACTATTAGTAATTAATACAGTGACTTTAATACATTTTTTTCAGATAACATTGCATTTTTTATATCATTAATATTTAATATTATAATAGTATGTATTTGTATAGAATATTTTATACTATTATAGTATTATTAACTTTTGAGTCAATACCGACTTACCGTAGAATGGTGTGAATAAGTAGAAGCATAAAAGGCAATAGCATAAAATGAATTTAAATTTTATAAAAATGTCTCAGATTTTTTAGTTTCAGTATGAACTACTTAAACATGCTGATTCAAACTATATTTTCAAATCTTAGTATAAAAATTCAACATTAAATACATTTTCAACTACAAAATAATTTATTATAATTTTTAGTAAATTTTTATGAATTTTCACTAAATTTTGAATACAATTTGTGATTATCAGCCTATGTATAAATAATTAGATGTAAAAAAAAAATCTATAATATAAGCTTATTAGACCCATGACTTATGAGAAATCTTATAGTATGTACATTTTCAAGTATTTTTACTGAGCAAAAACGCATTATAATTTTAGGAAAAAATAAAAAAATGTTAAATATCTTTGAGTAGGTAGTTTACATTTGTAACCGGCAATCGGAAAAAAAATCCCTGGAAGTAAAATCCTCAAGTCTATACCTAAATGTTGTTTACAGCTGTCAAAAAAAAATTATAAAACATAATAGAAATATATAAAATTTGAACGATAATTTTTTATAATATTATATAGGTTAAAGCCTTAGAGGGGTAATACATAGTCACATAGAACACCAATACAATTTTACTACCTAGGCCAGGGCCGGCGCAAGAAGTATTGGCGCCCTTAACAAGCCCCCCCCCCTCCCACCTAGTTTGAGTAGTAGTAAAACGAAGTTTTTTAGGAAGTTAAAAAAAATAAAATTTAGTTTGTATATTTTATCATAACTTTAAAAACAATAAATAATTGTGTGTGTAGTGTACTAGTGTGTGTCAGACAATTGTGTCTTTTTGATTTACGCCACACTGCGGTATTTTCGCGCGTTCTGGACTCACACTAATTGGTCAGTCGGTATTACCACAGATTAAATGAAACATGTTTCATTTAATCTGTGGTATTACATCGTAATATTAAAAGGACGTTACACCACGATTATAGATAGTATTATACTATTATTATACTATCTATAATCGTGCGTTACATCGACATTTAATGTCTCCGTTTAAGATGTACAACTATGTATAAATAAACTTTTGCAAACACAACAAGGCAAATTTTAGGGGTTTTTTCGAAATTTGTTCACTGTTGAAATATAAAAATGCATCTATACAATTTAATAGGTAGGTAGGTACAATATAATTATTGGTCGGAAAAATGTAATTTGTTACGTTGTAAATAACATAACACGATTTAATATTTATTGAATTAATTTTTCTACCAATATTTGAAATAAAATGTGTAGGTACCTTATACCTACGTGCTACGTCCTTAAACTTCTAAATACAACCTGTCTATAAAAAAAAAATAATGGCTTATGGCTAATCATATTTTGAACAACGTAACAAAAATCAAAATGTAATTTATATAATATCGCTGCATATATTATAAATATTAATTATAATTTATACAAATATACAAATACAACACAACACATAAGCCATCGTACTTAAATATATCTATTTTCGATTTTTCGAATGAATTTAATATTTAAATTGGATAATGAATAGGTTTGTTATATTGTGAGCACTTGGCAGTATATTAAGTTTAATATTGTTTAAATAGCTCGTGGGCAAGTTTTCTACATAAAGACATTTTTATGGAGTTTTTTGTTTGGATTTATAACTTTCTAAACGTCTTTTGTGTGGGTAAAGTACATTTTGGACGGATTTTTTTTTCATAAGCATACACCAAAGACCAACTATACTAGGTATAGACGTTTAGTACATAATTTATCAATTTATGGCGTTGGAGTGGGACGAATTGAAATTCTGTTAAAATAATTTTGTTTTATAAACATTTTGAATACATTTTTATACATTTTTGGAAAACCAAAACACTCATGCAGGGTTACATGAACAATCACTACACATTTAACAAATCAATAATGGTCGCTTAAAAATGATTTTTTGGTCTATGATTGCCGATTAGTCCATTAAATATTATTGAACCATAAAGTTAATACCTACTTTTTTCATAGCCTTAGTAAAATGTTAAATACTACCATGACTAGTATAAAATAAATGCTAGGGTTACAGTAAGATGTAAGTAGGTAGGTATACGTAACGTTATCATCGTAAGATTTATATTATAATCCTCATTTTCGATTTTAATTATATAGGCTATATCGTTATGACCTTAATATATGTTACATTTAAATTTTAAATTACTAGGTAGGTGTACCTACTTATAGATCAAAATGATTTTGTTGTACGATGATTTATCATTTATTTCAAACTTTCAAACCTATTCGAAAGTACTCATTGAGTTCGTAAATATTTGTATTAGAGAAATGAAAAAAATAATTTTGAATAGGTAATTCAGAAGCATGTTTAGTAACCCTTTATGTTACTCTTGTACGGTCGATTATTGATAACGGATTGATAATTTGGAACCCTATACTACAAATTGATAAACGATTAATGGAACTGGTTCAGAAATAACGAGTCCATAGTTATGCTGGTTTTAGGTTTCTAACTGAAAATTTACAACACTCAGAATTATTCAAAACCTATCATCGAAGTTTTAAATCTCATTTCTTTCAAAAACAGGCATGAGGCAGCATAGGATGGATCAAAACTTTTTGCTAAAACGACTTGGAAAGATGGATTCATTTTGCTCAAGCGTAGGTACAAGTTTACGAGTTGCAATTGCCCATTTAAGGTCTCGCGAGACATTCCATATTCCGACTTCCCTGTTCAATCTTTCTTATGAATGATCCCTTGGTTTGAGCTATAATATATGATCTTTAAATTATACTAGAGAAGAATCGAAAAATGCTGGTCAGTAGTGCCAGTCACCTCATCGTTATCTAATAAACCAATGCATTCAAAATTATGTTGACCATACAAAAAGGTTAAGAATCATAACAAATACTAATTGTAATCAGAACGATATTATCAATAAATATTTTCAGTGTGTAAAATTAGTTTAGCGTTAATTTATCTAAAAAAATTTTTTCTTGTTATCTTCATTATTTATAATATATATTTCTTCTTTATAGATGCACACATAAAACAAAATTTTAATATTATGATTTATGATTATGACAAATATCAAACAAAATATTATGATTAAACTTTAAAATTATTTAATAGTATTATGGTTTATCGACTAAAAATATTTTCTTATTAATTGTCAAAAGAGGAAATACCGTTCGATATAATATATATAAAATAATAGTCATTGTTTCAACCCAGTATTTTTTTTATTAGTATTCGTTTTCAGTAACTATATCCGCGGAGAACACTTTTAATTTGAATCACTATTTTAGAAATTTTTCTTTTTGTAAGTGTTTTTATTTGTGTGGTTTACATTTTTTTTTAAAAATAATTTTAAAAATATAAGCTTATAGGTTTAAAAAATCTGAGACATCGGCTTAATGCAGTCAATATGTTTATGTATCAATTTATTGTAGTAGTATAATATTTATTGTCTTAAAACATGAAAAAATTCTTTCTTATAGGCCGGTATTTATCTATTCTCTCCTAATATCGATATTTGGCCTTAAACATTTCTGTTTTGAAATCTTTTAATACATATTAACTATCTTTATGTTTATTGTTTAATATTTGACATTTTATACATGTAAATAGCCGAAGGGTGTTGAAGTTAGTTGGTTTTTGAATATAAAAACATGTCTTATAG